AACAGTTGATTACACAATACTTATGTATGGCATACAGCAATTGTGATTACATTTAGTAAAAATTAAGTTCAAGTAGCAAAATAAATTCTTGTTAATTTTTGTCCTTTCTTCTAATTGTTGCTTTTTATCAAGTTGGTCAAATACTACAGTCACAATAGTGGCTTCCAGCTAGAGTTAGATATGCCATATTTGTTCCTTAGGAGTTTAGTATGCCTTTTTGTAGTGTCTCCAAACAAAATACTTAAAATACACAAAGAATGGAAAACTTACTTTAAAAAAAAAAAAACTTGGTGCTGATTGCAAAAACTCAAATCACAAACAAAATCAATGAAAAATATAATGCAGAGTTTTAACACACCACACCTGCAAAATTTATTACCCTAATCTGTGTGAAATTCAGCAACAGTAAGAAGCAGCAAGAATAAGATTAGGCCCATTACTTTGTACACTCTTGAAGATTTTATCATTGTTCTGTACAGATTATAAAACAAACATAAACAAACAACACCCCCACAAAACTGCATTAATTGATATATATATTATTATATATTATTAATTACTTGAGAATTCCAGAAGTAATATATCCTAGGTGTTTACCATGTTGTGCAAAACCTGAACTCGTCAAAGAAAATGAGTCTATATATAGTGTTTTCTGGAAAGAAAATAGAGCAGCAGCACTACAATACACTAGAACTATCAGTAATCTGTAGGGGTTAGTTACTAACACCCTTTTTTCTTTATCCTATTAAGAAAAAAAATTAAAGATGCAACATACAAGGGAGACAAATTTAACTACAATCATAATAACATGGATACTTGAAACAGAACATGTAACTGAAACATCATCTTAAAGCTCTTCTTGAGATAAGAAATGTTTCAGAACCTGCATATTAATGAATCAGATTGGCTTACACAAATTGTTCTGCTTGTTGTTTGCTTGATGTTATTAAAACAAGCAAAGACAACACCAAATTCCACAAAAGGAATGTCTTCCAGTCTGGTATTTTTGGTTCTGCTGAGTAGTTTCAAGGATAGAGAGATTTGTTTTTATCAGGAGTCACTGTTTCAAAATTCAGATATAAATAAGATAAAGTACATATACAAGATGGTCCTAATGGTGTCAAGTTAAGGAATATCTACCACAACCAATGTTACCATATTTCAGTGTTTTGCTACCTCCTAATTAAAAGGCTTTCCTTATATCAAATTATGGGAGGGTTGGTACAAAATTAAGTTTGGTTTTCCAAACTTAAGTTTGTTTTCCTTCAGCTAACAGAATTGGAACAGAATTTTTCATCATCTTCACTGTAATCTGCTGTTTGGGGTATTTTTAGTGCTTTAGTAAGTTGTTGCTTGTCTTCACCTTTAGCATTTTGTTTTCTCTATCAACAAATATTTAACTTCCCTGTATCCAAGCAGCAATATTTTTTAGACCTCTTACTCTTCCTACTGCTTTTCTTGAAATGCTAGGCAGTAACAGGTATTATTTCAAATGGGGAAAAAATGTCACTTGGTGATAATTCCAGAACAAACCCAACAAAGGACTCTTCAACTTCGTGCCAAGAAGGCAAATCTTAAGTCTACAGGAAACTCATTATTTTCACTGGATATAAAAGGAAGATGCTGCTTTAAAAGTCATAACAACTGAAATTGATATTCTCATTACTCTGCTCTAAGTATCAGTCTTAATTATTGTAATCCATTGCATGTGTGGAGTGTAGACATACTTCCTGAAGATTAGGAGCAGAAGAGTTGTTCCCATTTCTCTCTTTCCCTTGGGAAATCATTATTGACAAATCATTTACTCAGCTCTGAAAATATATTTTTCTTTTTTTTTTTTTTCAATTACAGATTATTCTACTAAAAAAATCTATTTGTGCATAGCAATCAAAATCTCAGTGCCTTTCCAAATCCTCCCTTCTACTGAACATTATAATTGAAACAGTGTAAAAGGTCGTTTTGTTTACAAAGTCCTTACTGAATGAGTGTAAAACAAAAGACAACTGATGGATAGGGAAAGACAGGGGAGAACAAGGGAATAATGAGACAATACTAGTCATAATGATTGGCAGTAGTCTCAGTACAGAATCGTCTTAAACACTGTGAGCATTTTTGGTTTTTTACTTTTAACTTTAAGTGTGTAACATTGAAATTTAGATTTTTAAGGAAAGACTAGAAATAGAAGGGGGAATAGGAAATTAATTTCTGGATATTTTGTGAGAGCCACTTTTAAGAGTTAGCTACAATCAGTGGAACAGAAAGAAGCTGATTACTTCACAAGGGAACAACTGGATTTATGAAGAATGGCAACATGTGCTGGCCAGAGGCTGGAGGCAGAATCTCAATGCCAAATGAGTAGGAAGATGGTGGAAGCAAATATGTTTTGAAAGGTCCTGAAAGTAAAGGCAAATTGAGTATGTTTGATATAGCAGAGATACATATAGCTCTCAGTTCCATTACATAGCTTTATGTCTTTTACAGAAATTTGCCTACTGTCTGTATTTTCAAGTCAAAATCTTTTTATACAGTAACAGTGTGCAACATGTCAAAATCTAAAAATGTTTATTTGTTCTCAGTTTGTCTGAGAAGTGATGCTTGAATTCATGTAACACGGGGTATTAATATAAATTGTTAAAAAGGAGACACCAAAATAGACCAAAATACTAATTTTATTCTTTATACTATTCATATCTGGAGCCCCTGGTGGTCTAGTGGTAAAGGCGCGGCACTATCACCGCCGAGACCCGGGTTCGATTCCCGGTCAGGGCCACTCCCGGGCAGGTGGGGCTCGTTAGCCCTTAAAGGCAACCCACCTACGTCCTAAGGACCTCGCTGCCACCGTCCAAGCTCGCTTGGCCCCGGCAGATGAACCTTAGGATTAAAGGGTGGGCTCAGTTCCACGCACACTGTGTCTCATCTAAAAAATCCAGTGCGCAGGCTGGAAGGTGTAAAGACCTTCCCCGGATCTTCACTCGCGAAGACTGGCCATTATTATTTATTATTCATATCTAACTGCTGAGCACATTGCAAAAGGGTGGCCAGCAACACATCTGTGTAGCCATATTCTGTACCCTCACTATGTTGCTGTGTATACATGGTGTCTTCAGATGAATTTGACGATGATTGTTTGACATTAACTCTGCATGAAATACTGCCCGACAAGCCTGAAATACCTTGTTGAACAATGTGGACAACGTCACAAGAAGCATCCAAAACAACAACAAAAGGGTAGGCAGGAGTATTTTCTATGGCCCAGACTGAACACCTGTCTCCTCATATTGAATGTTGAAAGTACGTTTTTGTATGATTCCTCAGAAAGGTCTCTTTGACTGTTCAGCTTTCATTGTTTGAGTTGTCTGTCTTTTGGTATGTGCTGCAATAAAATGAATGTTCATTTTCAAGGTTAGTTTCTGTGCAGATTACTGCTTAGCATTAAGTGCACTCACTGCATAGAGCCTCTCCAAGGTCTTTAGGCCTTTTAAGCCTCACTCAAGCTTTATTTAAGAGCCAAGTTGAGCTCTGTTGGCCTTGCTTTCCATGTCACGAGTATTATTCTTTCAGCTATAGGAAAATAAGAATTTTTCCACTGGAAATCCAAACTAGAGAGTACCGAAGTCACATTCCTTCTATTTAAGTCTTGTTTTGCACTGTTACAGCGTTACAGTGCAAACTCAGAAAACATTAATACATTGGAAGGTACACTTTAACATGGTTCTATATGACTTTACTATTAGAACTTCCTTATCTTTTCTCTCTCTCTCTCATCTCTCCATTTTAACAAACTGTTGTCCTACATCATACGAAATTGTTGGAAGATAATAAACAGTTTTCTGTGTTATCTGTCTTTGTAAGCAATTATGGTGTTTCCCTTTGGATAAGGATGGGCATTTATAACATTATTATTTTATTCATTAACTTAAAATAATGCATTTATATTTTATTCTAGACAATTAGACTTCTGGATTTTTCAGGCCTAAGAAAAATACATCCAAATATTTCTTTCCAATGTGCTGTAAAAACTGACAAATTCATAAACCAAACTGCTCCTGTATAGGAAAATATTATTCTTTAAGGCTAAAGCCTTGAAAAGAACAGCTAATGACATTGCCAAATAGGGTTTTAAGACTTGAAATGTGTGTATTTTCAAAATTTTCCTTTTTTCCTCATGTAAGATGGCTATTCTTAACTGAGCACTGTATTATATTTGAAATTCAGAGGTTCATTTACTCTACCAAAAATTACTGAAAAGTCAGTAACAGCTCATAATTTGTGAGAAGTTTTCATTTTCTGAATGTCCATTTTGTGCCTATGAAACTAGCTGCAGAAACCTACATCTTTCAAGATGCATTTTCCCTTTGACTGTTTAATTGCAGACAATAATGTCAGAGGTGGTAAAATCAGTTAAGACAATTTTTATCAGCCAGGAAGGAGAAAGGTGTAGATTTTTTCTGCTTCTTCATGATGCCCTACCACTTTTGGCATTTTTGCAGGCATTTTGTTGAGCTGGGAAAGTGGTTAAGAAGAGGTTAAACAAATATCTGCATCACTCTGTTTCAGCTGCCAGACATCAGGGCCACTGAGGCTAGATGTTCATCCTTCAGGCAGTTCTGTGACTGCAGCTCAAAATGAGCCCTGCCTAACCAGAAACATACAATTATTCCAATCAGATTATTTATGTGCTATACAATGCAATTATCCAGCCTAATTTGAAAGATGAATTAATTGAAGTATGATTTTCCTTTTTTTTTGCATAGAAACTCCCCACATAGGATATTCATAAAGGACAGTTGAGCACTTGACTTTCATGCCAGAGATTCTGAAAGAATATCTATTTTAAACAGAAAAAGACTTTGTTTCACCTCTTTCTTTTTAGGAGAGGAGGAGGTTTTAACACTACAAATCAGCTCTTATATTAGCACAGAAACAATATATAAAAGCAGAAAGACAAAAGTGACACTCTGTCAATTTATTTTTTTTAATTATTTTTTCCTCTTCCACAGATTAAAATTGATTGAAAGAAGCTTTCAGCATGAATTTCTCTGCACTGCTACCTCTCACAGTGATGCTGGTTCAACTTTGGCCTTACTCCCTCAGCACGCAGAACCACAGTGCTCAAAACACAGATCTGTCTTTCATGGTAGTCCGAAGAGTGAAACGTGGCTGGCTGTGGGAGCCACTATTTGCAACTGAGGAACAGATTTCACTCAGTCCTATTTATATTGGACAGGTATGATAAGTCATGATTCAAGGACAGTACAAGGTTATCTTTAGCATGCTGATTAGCAGCTTCTGCCTTGACTTGGAAGACCAAACATCTCCAGTGACCTAGAAATAGCAAGAAAGGTAGAAACAGGAGATCAGGAAGCTGTAATTAGGCATTGTTACGCCTCTCCTTTCCTGTGACCTTACTTAGGGTCAGAGAACTACAAGAGTTGGAGGTCATGGTAGTACCAAGGACCTTCTCCACCTAGGTTGCTGTCAAGGAAATTTCACATTCAATCTGTTACTAAAACTAGTTCCATACACACCAGATGAAGGTATAAAGCTGAAAAGTTCCTTTCTTTTCTGAATGAAAGTTAAGGACTCATTTATCAACATCTGGCAATTTGCTTGTGCTATTTTTGGCTTTGCATCAGAGCAGCCATACTGAGTGTAGTGCAGTTTACAAACACTATTTAGCATGATTTTCTATTACACTAAGTAGCAGCTGATTTACCCGTCATTAATTTTTAATGAAGCAGATTAATACTAAATCCTTTTACCACTGAGAAACTACAGGAATCTGCATGGTTCATTAGATTAACGTAGGTTTAGCACAATGAGCAATTATTTTTTACCCTCCTTTAAAAGTGTATTTTAAGATAATTGCCTTAATGAGGCTTTATCTGCCCCTTTCTTCTCTCTCTGTTTATCATTGTTATATTTATTATTATTATTTATTTTTCTATGATAAAAATAACTGTAATCTTGAGATCTAGTTTTCTTTTCTTTAAGGCTCTTTCTAGATGAATGAACCAAAAAAAGTTTAACTGCTAATTAACTAGCACTAAAATTTAATTGGGCCCAAAGGGTGAAGTGTTCAAAATTCATTAATTACTTTTTCCCAGCCCCTTCGAAGTAACTACTATGGAAGTGTGATGTCTCACTTCTGAAAGAACAAGTTCAGACATGCTGTATATTTTTTTTAACCATTATTACTCTTACAATACTTCAAAAACAGTTTCCTGCAAAGAAACTTCATAAATGTCATGCATTTTCACAATCTCACCTTTCTATTTCTCACAGGTAAACTGGGAATTTTATTGAAGATTATCATTAATTTGTTGCACTGTTACCATTGTCTAGTCAGACATATTTACTTGTGTCTTTTTATTGAGTACCATATACTCTGCTTTCAGGAAATTAAGTGGTAGTCTATGATCAACACATGAATTTTTAGTAATTAAGGCCCTGAAGAAAACTGCATCAACGCAAATACACAGGTAGAGAGTCTCTGCTTTTAAGTTGCTATTCTATATAAAATTCCTTTCACAGTCAGAGCTAAATCTTCAAATTTTATTTAACATAGACTCCTGACTCCTTTTCCATTATCAAGCTTAAGTAAAACAATGACAGATATTTGAGAGCAAGTACAAAAATCCTTGTTCTCAGTTCTCAGTTACAATGAGAAGACCTTATATTCTGTTGTGTTTAGCCTAAACAAACCAAGTAAACTGAGAACATTTAGTATGCTTTCTCAGCAAATGTCATATGCAAGAGATTCTCATCTTACATGTTCAAGGTCATGAATGTGGATAAAAGATCCTGAGTGAAGTCACTTTAACTGTCTAAGCAGCCAGTCTAAGGCAGCTTCAAGAAAAATAAGGGGGTTGTGCACTCCATGGTCACATCCAAACCCCATGTTAGCTTAAAGATCTAGGCATACATCACGTCTCCTGTGCCCTGCAGTTCATTACAAGGAAACCAAGTTTTATGGATAACAAAGGATGTTGCCCTTTAGCCAGATGCCAATTTCAATGGTGTTAAAATGAGTTTGACTAGACTGTGTTTTTCACACAACTACTTATGTTGAAAATATTTGACTTTAAGTTGTTCATATTTTTAATGGTTTTTAACTCCATAGACTTGGAAGTTCTCTTTTGTACTGTCAAGGGTAATTAACTCTGCATATTTTAGGTCTTCAATACTTTGAGAGAACTCAGAGCAGGAATTCAAAACTGTTCCTCATATCCCAGAGCAGTGTCCCCATCCCATTCTGAATAAAGTACCCATTTGATGCATGCAGACAATTACACTTTAGGAAAATCTTCAAAAGACATACATAGTCATTGTTCCAAAGAAAAGTTAAAATTATTTTTGCAGCTTCTGAAGTTATTACAAAACATTTGAGTAGATTCAGTAGTGAAACAGGCCCTTTACACCCCCTAGTTACTTCTTTCCTATTCTGTATCCTCATATCCTACACTAACCTGTAGGGTCAATAAGCATGAAATAAAACAGTGATATAATTGAAGTCAATGGTTAGGCATATTATTTGCATTTTAAACCTGTTGCTTCATAAGAGAAGCAGGTTAAATAATTTTCTTTTTTTTTTTTTCAACTTTGGATTTTTCAATTATTATCCAGGCTCTTAGAGAATTTGACATCTTTTATTCTATAACCAAAATAAATAGAGAAAAATAGAGAATTCATGTTGTGATAGAAATTGCTGGTCCCATAAAACTCAACTGTGGATGTTTAACATGTTAAGAAATTAAGTTATTGCTATTAAAAAGGTTCTATTATATATTGCTAACATTAACAAGGCATGAACAAATGTAGCTGGACCACAATTGTCTCCAAGGCTCAGTTTCATCAAAGGAATCATCATCATAAAGTTCAACTTAACAAGACAACAGAGGATGTAGATCATCCTGGAAGGAAATGGAAAATGTCTATCAATTTATTTCAGAATAAATAATATAGGCTTACACTACAGAATGGATTTTCACTTCCTTAATATTGCAACAGAAATGGAAGATCACTGTTGCTCACATTTGCACTTAGTATTGCTGAGTACAGAAAAAAACCCCATAAAACTTACAAAGTACACTTGTCATTTGCAATAATAAAAACTTTAGATAATGTTTAATGGCCTTTGCCTTGTTTTCAGCAGAGTTGTATGGCAGCTGATAAAGCAACAAACTAAAGTGGGTACTTACAGTCATTCCCTTTGTTTCAAAGTAGCTGAAGCATCTCTTTTCTGGTTTATCATGCATTCATAAGTCTGTTATATAAATACTTTAAAATTAAATACTTAATATACTTTAAAATTAAAATGGTTGGCTGAAAATGTGACAATACTATCTTTTAAATATTAGTTTCTAAGAAGGCTCATTAGTGACAGGGTTCACTGAAACATGGAAGCAAATGTTCAAATTAATATTTCAAAAATTTATTCCTCCCAAAGTGTGACTTACTTTTCTGTTTTGTGCTTTCAGCTGAAATCAGATTTAGACAAGCAGGATGGCAACCTAAAATACGTTTTGACTGGGGAGGGAGCAGGAAGCATTTTTGTCATGGATGAATATGATGGCAAAATTTATGTGAAACAAAAACTGGATCGAGAAAAAAAACCTTTCTACAGTCTAAGAGCAAAAGCAATAAATAGGAGCACTCATCTTCCTGTTGAACCTGAATCAGAATTTATTATCAAGGTTAGAGATGTCAATGACCATGAACCACAGTTCTTGGATGGGCCTTACGAGGCTACTGTTCCAGAGATGTCACCTGAAGGTATGATATGCTGTGAACCAAAATCTTTATTTCCTGTTTTTTTTTTCTAGATAGCTCTGTGGATACAAAAATCTTAATAGCGTATGTCACAGACTGCTTCTCAGTGAGATGAAAGCAAACTGTTTTACAGGTTTGGGAAAGGTTATAAATACCTCTACTTAACATCCTTGTTTTTGAGTATTTATTTTGTACTTGTTTACAAGTACAGCATTACCAATAAAAATAGGTAGAGCACTGAAGCCAGTTGCAAAGGAGATGTGATGACCACCCTCACTCTCTTTACATTGCTTACTTATTTACACTGCCAAGCCTCTTCCCTATCAATCAGCTTCTTCTTGTTTGGATCAGATTGTGTGCAATGAAGGACTACCTTCCATTTTCCTAAGCACATGAATTGCAATTTCCCTGTCAAGAGGAACAACTTAATCCCTGCACCTCCTTTCCCCCTTCCAAATGATCAAACAGACCTGTCATGTATCTGGAAACTTTTTCAGCAAATACAAAGCAAAGCTAAGATCTGACAAATATAGGTGTATATATACATCTATGTGTACTTACACATATGAATACATAATATGTGGACACATACATTTAAAGCCTTCAGAAACCCCAAAGTGTGAAAACAGCTGACATAAACAAGCATGTTATAGATGCTATCTCCAAGTAACTATCTTCAAAATCAAAGGAAAACTAGATTCTTTAATCCTTACAGAAAGAATCCCAATAATCTTTTTAATTCATACCTCTACCTCTTTTGATTATTTCTATGTGTGATTGATATTGAACAGAAATTACTGTGCTACTTTAAACAGTATGAATTAATGAGGTCATTAATGCAATAGCATCAGTGATCATAAAAGATAATAAAAAGTATGCTTCATTAAACATTACCTGTTCAACTTTTAGGGTAGAATCAGTGAATCTTTCACAGCGAACCATAAACTTTATGTTCTTTTACCAGCCAGAATAGCAGTTGCAAGAAAAGGATACTCATGCCTGGTGTTTAATCATGGGGTTAGTATCCTAATTTCTGCCAGGAAGCAGCAGCTCACCATCACTACCAGTAGTACAAAAGATCTCCATTTAATCAGTTTACTTGCTAGTCACACTGCTTATGCCAACTTCTACCGGGGATATCACTTCTGATTGTTTCTTCACTGCCACTTTTTTCCATCCAGACAGACAGACTTCGTCTGCATTTGAGCTCTTGCTCAAATAACTTTTTCTGACATAATCAGTTGATTGTTCAGAGAGTTCTTCTAGACTTTACATCTTGCTCATTTACTCAAGTTTGGAGATGAGAAGACAGGTGTCTTGCAAAGGAGCTTTTTATTTTTATTTTTTTGTGCGCTCACAGTAAAAATGGGTATAGTTCATTGTCCAGAATTATCTGGGATTGCATAATTGTAGGACTTTGATGACTCCTTTTTTTTTTTTTCCCACTGTGGGAAAGCATTGCTAATAAGGTACATAATCTCTTATAAAATGTTTTTATTTAAATAGCTGGTGATTTAGTATGGTTTCATTTATACTCACAGAGACTTGTAACTCTTCACATAAGTGTATGAACAACTGACTTATAATTTTTTATCTTTCTGTCTTGATGATGGCTATATGGGAAAAAAAAAAAAAGAAAAATACTCAGGTAGGGCAGTACTCAAGGGTAAAACAACAGTAGGAACCTTTTATCATATGCCTCTGTTTCTCACCTGAAACCATTAATAAGCAATTGATAAATGAGAAGTTTTACTCTGTACTACCTTGAGCTTGCTATAAAGATAACCTAAAAGTGAAAGGCTCAGCTGTCTTTATCCATTCTTATGTGTCATTATTATATATTTAAATTCCTAAAATACTATATCACTTCAGAATAAGATTAATTAAGCTGCAGATATACTTTCTGATATTATTGTGATATTATAAATAAAAAATATTCTAGTGAAAGGTAGAAATATATGAGAAAAAAAAAAGTTAAAAAGTCAAAAGTAACATCATCTTCCATTTGTCAGAATGGGTGAAAAATGAAGATCCCTGAGTGCCTTCTCTATCAGACACATTGCCTGAAATAGTACACTCACAGATATGCAACCATCCAGCGTATGATATGTGAATCCAGGTCATCCTGGATCTTGAAATATTTTCTATATTGCTTCTTCTGTACCTGACCTCTTTAGCACTAATACCATAGCTATTCCAGAGATCATTCTTTCACCTGTTTCTTCCATGTAGATGCTACTGGAATACAAATATGTATGTCTGGAATATACAATGTAACTGGAGTTTATACCTTGATAGTGGTCAGTTCCAACACATGAAACAGCTGAGCCACACAACATGAATACTTCTCTAGGCTCACTTACCCTGCTTCTCAAAAGGTAGAGACTGCACTACTGAGGTAAAACCTATTTCAGTGTGCATCCTAAACCAACCTTACAAGGAAATTTGTAACCTCCTAGTAGACAAAAAGAGTAATAATAATGGCCAGTCTTCGCGAGCAAAGATCCGGGAAAGGTCTTTACACCTTCCAGCCTGCGCATTGGATTTTTTTTAGGTGAGACACAGTGTGTGTGGAACTGAGCCCACCCTTTAATCCTAAGGTTCATCTGCCGGGGCCAAGCGAGCTTGGACGGTGGCAGCGAGGTCCTTAGGACGTAGATGGGTTGCCTTTAAGGGCTAACGAGCCCCACCTGCCTGGGAGTGGCCCTGACCGGGAATCGAACCCGGGTCTCCGCGGTGATAGCGCGGCTCCTTTACCACTAGACCACCAGGGGCTCCATTTGCAACACTGATACCATAATAGTTCAATATATTTGTGCTTTTCTCCCAGTAAACTAGAACATACTCTTGCATAATAAGGGATGAAGAATAGAATTATTTTAAGTGATACAGTGCAACAGAGAGCCTTTCCCTTTGCTCTGTTTCAGAGTTCTCTAACATTGGCTCAGCTCACTGATGCTGGATCTCCTAGCACATTCCTCACAAAAAACTCTCAGGAAGTGTGGTCAATATTTGGGAAAGTAGGTCATTGCTAGTAAAAATTTTGTCTGGAACTAAGAAAGAGAGGAGAGAATAATTCAGAGCTGGCCACTTTCCTCAGAGAACCACAGCAAAATCAGAAAATAGGCATGGATAATTTTGCCTGAAGTTAGTTGCAAATATCAATATATATACTAATGTACCAGCAAATTAGAATATATTTTAATTCTTTATTAGCTCTCTTCTACCTTCAGTACTAAATTTTATTAGGGTTTTAAAGGCAAGTGTCACAGTAAATGAAATGCATGTCAGCAAATGGACTCTCTTCTGAGAACACAGGTCTGTGCTTTTCCCTCAGGCACTTGGTACGATTTTACCTAAAGTGTCTTCCAAATAGCTGTTAAACTTGTACAAATGCAGTATATCTGATGGAATGGTTAAGAGTCAGATGCAATAATCTATCAGTACTTAATGTCCTTTTAGATTTCAAGCTCTAGTTAGAAAAATGAATAACTATTTGCCATATGAGGACCCCATAGCATACCTAATGGACTGCAGCAGATAAATGGCACTATTATGTTTTGCCCAAGAAGGACAAAATCAAGCCTGAAGAGATAAAAAATACTAGTTTAGATTAAATAAAGCTGATCAAAAAGTTCAATTGTGAATTACGTCATGTCATGCTTACAATGTTAGAAGCTAGGGTTTTGGGATTTCCTGGGTGGGGGGAGGTTGTGTGTGCATATTTATATGTTAATTGATTGTTTTAAGATATGATTTGTATCTGTATTTTCTCACAACCATGTGCTTACAAATAATATCTTTTGAGAGCTTTTGAGTAAAGAATATTAACATTGTAATTTTTGTTTCTCAGATAAAAATGGTAAACATTATTCCATTCAATTACTGGTTTGGGCTGGTTTCTGACTGTTTCTTTGTTTGTGTTTTTTTGTGGGGTTTGTTTTCCTTTGTTTTGTTGGGGGGGTTGTTTGGTTTCTTTTTTAGTTGGTTTGTTTGTTTTGGTGGATGGTTTTTATTTTCTGATTGTTAAATGTATAAAAAAATACAAGTTTCATGGCATAACATTTTTCTTCTGCTTACTGTATAGTCTACAGTTAATGCAGAGGTTTGTATAGTGATCAAAAAAATCTTTTTTTTCTAAAAAAGTATGAGAAACTATAGCCTGCTCTTTACATGGTCTCCTGTCACTCCATTTTAGAAATGACCTTGCTCCTGAGAGTGTAGGATATGTTATTTCTTCCCTCCAGGTCAGCTTTCTCTTTACTAGATGCCCTTTTCCTGTTCACCTTTCCATTGCATCCACTAGCTTCATCTCACTGAGCCCAACTATACAAATTCCATGCTTCTACCTTCTGCTATAGAAGAGTCAACAGGCAAGCAAAAAAGTGTGCTTGGGTCTTAGAGATGCAGGAAATCTTGGTTTATATTCAAGATTTCTCTATGACGGTTAGAAACTGTGTAAAAAATAAATCTACCTTTAAATGTGTGAGATGCACAAATGCTGTAATAATAACTTTGTAGTCCTAAATACGTTGGATTTTATTCCTGATTTACTAAATATGGTTCTGTAAATAAGTAAAAAATAGCATTCATGACAGATCGTACTCACTGGATTATTCATAGTTCTTGATCCCTTCCTAACTAGCACTCCATTTCTTTTTCAAAGCAATTGCATTCTAGTTATGCTAAATTGTCTTAAAGGATGAGGTTTCTGTAATAGTGACAGCAATTTCCATAGATCACAGCTGATACAAAGTTAACAGTTGTGTAGTTAAAGATTTCATTTACCCTTCAGTCTTATCATGGAATTCTGTAATTTCTGAAGCATATATGTGCCCTGACTAAATATGAATCTGTAATTTTATCTTTAAACATTTCTCCAGAGCAACAGGATCTGTATATATACTTATATATCTATACACACATCTAAAGCACATATAAACATCAGATATTCAATATTGAAGGTATGTTTTGAAGGACATATAGGTCCAAAACTTCATGAGAATTATTAACAATTTATTGTGCTGTCCACCTGAGAGAAGATAACATGTGTTATGGAATCTCTTGCAGTGTTGCTGAGTAAATTAAGAGAAAATGCAAACCATACTTTTTAAAATAATCAAAATATTTAATTTAGCATATCCTTATATGAGAAAGCATTTTTCATTCCTGTTTAAAAATAAAACAGTTTAACTGTTAGAAAACTCAGCAATGAATATATTTTTTTTATTGGAGACAAGTATGAACTTTACCTTTGTCATTAAAAATGTGTTTCTGGTCTAACTCCCTTGCACTCCACTGTTTCTTCTTCTTTCTCCTCCAGCATAACTATGCAAGCTGTATTGGTAAGCAGGTGCAACCGTGTGAACATATTGCCAGAAATTTTTAGAAAGTATCTTGATTTCCCACTATTCCTCATGAGAAGTGATATTTGTATTCTAAGGCAGAACCTAGGTGAGGAAAAAAGACAAAAATAATTATTACCTTACAAAATTATGTTACTGTGAGTGTTTTCTTTTAAAGGACAGTCATTACTGGTAGTGCCAGTCAATCTTCTATCTAGGATATAAAGAGCTTCCCATCAGAGATGAAATCAAGCTCTACAGTTTGATTCTGCTGTTTTTTGTACTGGGAATTCTGCCATCATTTTTTGCACTGGGACAGCTCATTAAAGAGTCAACGATAAAAAATTTTATCTGAGCCTTGTTATACTTCCTGGCTGCTTTACTTGCTAACAATTAATTTCTTTATCACCAATGGGCCTACTGGTGATAAAGTATCTGTGTTTTCTTATTCCTATGGGAAACTCCCATAAAATAGTTTGAAGAATATAGAAGGGTTTGAGAAACAATTTGCTATACTCCATTCACATATCAGAAATTAGGGAAAATATGTGTAGTATTTTAAGCAACATAAACGTAGTGCTAAAAAATTGTACACTTTTTTTTTTTTATTTTTAAATTTGAATGGAACAAGAATAGTTGCTGGGAAATATTTTCCATTTTTAATAATAAATTTTAGAAGATGCCATTTACTTTTGTAAATTTTTAGGACTCTTTGCTAATATATCTGATATGTTAAAAAGTTTTGAAAGACTTTATGTTCTATAATTATGAGATAATTTATACAAGAAGAAAATAAACATAATCTATTTTATTTTTCCTTGAGGTACTTCAGTTATACAGGTAACAGCTACAGATGGTGATGATCCTTCTTATGGGAATAGTGCCCGTCTGCTTTACAGTCTCATTCAGGGACAGCCATATTTCTCTGTGGAGCCGAAAACAGGTACTACAAATGAACTTGTAACTTGAAAACATTTTTAAACTAATATAATGGGTGCAAGCAAAAATATTTCTTCATGTCAATACAAAGATGAACTGATACCACCCTACACTCTTACATCTTTGCATAGTTCCTAGATCTAAAGAAAATTATTTTTTCCTTTCCCATAGGAAGTCGAAATTCTTTCTCTCTAAGACATCCAAACTTTAGTTAGCAAAATACCTTGTTAAAAAAAAGAGCTGGGTTACTAGTACCCCATTCAACAAATGCATCTAGGAACACTTCTCGTTTAACAGCTTTGTGACTCATTTTGTGACATTTCTACTTCTATGTTGGAGGAACCACAGATACGGGACATCCCTCCAAAAACCTACTTTCTGGTATGGTTATATATGGTAAAGGAAATATAGGGAGTATTCTGCTTCCCAGAACTCTAAATATGCAGAATGGATCTCTTATACAGCACACTTACTGTCATGAGTACTAATTCCCAGTATTAGGACAGTTTTGCTGTGCACGGTCTAGAATGGAAATTGATAACTAGGTCCAGTGATACATTTTTATACCCATATTATACTGTCAGATGTTGGGGAAAGAATGAGACTGTTATATGTTATTACATTATACTTTTCATTTTTAGGGGTCATCAGGATGGCTGCCCAAATGGATCGAGAAACAAAAGATCAGTATTTGGTCATCATCCAAGCCAAAGATATGGTTGGGCAACCAGGGGCATTTTCAGCAACAGCCACTGTTACCATCAACCTTTCTGACATCAATGACAATCCACCTAAATTTCAGCAACGTGAGTATAGGTTGTTTACACCAATTGAAGTCTTGAAGAAATTCGGATCCATTGTAGCTCTCTTAGGTTCACATGTAGGTCTTTTCAGAACAGGACAGTGCTTTGACTTCAGCATACAGATTAAAATAAAATTAAAATTAAAATAATTAAAAAAAAAAACCACAAAAGCTCAAAAATCATGAGAAAAAAATATCATTGCAAAAGATTTCAGACCTGCTGTTTTTACTTACTGCAGGACTTTGGAGACAAATCACTTACTAAACTGTTTTCCCTTTAGTTTGCCCTACCTAAGCACTATTTTCACTCACCTTCTTTCTTCTTCTCCTCTCTTCATTCTTTTTTGGCAGATACTGTAAACTTTTTGGTAAATGATGTGAACCTATCTGTCCAGGGAGTTTCTAGCAGATGTGAGAGCTGCTTACTGGGCTGTCAGGATAAACTAGTGAAACGCAGTTGGGAAGTGCAGTCCTCCACTGTATTTTCACCCTGCTAGTTCTTAGAATCATAGAATAGTTTGTGTTGATCTTTAAAGGTCATGTAGTTCAACCACCCCTTAATGGGCAAAGATCTTCAGAGCCCCATCCAACCTGACTTGGCATTTTTCCAGGAACGAGGTATCCACCATCTCTCTGCACAACCTGTGCCAGTGTTCACCACTCTCATTGTAAAAAACCTCTTTCTTATATCTAATGTGAATCTTCCCTCCTTCCTTTTAAAACCATTGCCTCTTGCCCTTTGCTAAAGTAGGGTTGAGAAGGGAGGACCCGTAAGTGGAAAGATTGTCATGCCCTGTACCCATGATCTATACAATGCTAGATTTCATCCTTTACTCTACTAAAAGTTAGGAACTTTACCCAGCTTTCTGAGAGCCACACACCATCATAGCTACAGCAGCTATTAACTAAGGTATATCACTAAACTGTGCCAGTATTTGTTTCTTTAGGACTCTACCATATGAGTGTCTCTGAAGAGGCTCCTGTGGGCACCGTTGTAGGCAAAGTCTTTGCAGAAGACAACGACATAGGGGAGAATGCAGCCATGAACTATTCCATTGAAGGAGATAGTTCACATGTTTTTGACATCATTACTGACAATGAGACTCAAGAAGGAATCATCTTATTAAAAAAGGTGAGATTTCAGAAACCTTCTAAAAAATACCTAAATACTAGAGAGAATTTCCACAAGCAAGCTGGGTGTTTAAAAAAGGCCTATTGCTTTGGATTCTACTATTTTTTTTTCTTTCTTTAGGCTTTGTGATTTGATTGGAATATTAGGCAGATGAAAAGAAAAATACTTTTCTTTCTGTTTACCTTTTTGACTCATTCCTGTTACTGCTGAATACAACAGTGACAGAGTTCTTAATGTCATCTCTAGCTGTGCAACATTGTGTATCCCATTGTGAGAAAATGTTCTATCTCTTCTGTGCATCATCTGTAAAATTTTTATCAATTTTTATCAGTGCAAACAATATTACTCACTTCCAACACCTCCTGTTATGTGAAGCTAGAATTTATTACAGTGTTAGATAGACAATGAAGGTTTTGTTATGACATAACTTTGAAAAGACACTAAATACACTCAAAAAATACCAGCTTATGAATTAAGATACTTAAAGTCCTTGATGCTGTGTAATTTTTTTTGGAATCACACAGGAGTATTTCTGGGGCATCTAGGACATCACCTGAAATGAAGACAGAGTTCGATAGTGTAGTGAAATCCAGGGCTTGGAAGAACTGAAAGCTATAAGTGTGGTAGTTTTGTTTGTTTGTGGTTTTTTGTTTGTTTTCTTTCATTTTGGCTTAGAGGTTTGGGTTTTTGTTTGTTTGTTTCTTTTCCTATATGGATTTGTTACAGTTCAGAAAGCTATTTATTTAGTAAGTATTTTTGTTATTTTTTTATTATTTCAGTAGATAAAGACTATCTCAAATAATAATGTAACTATGACTTTTTTTACAGTGTTGTCTGACTGTAGCATTAAAACCAGCCTAAATGTGAAAGCAAACAAAACCAGTTTAACTTTAAAGTGTTTCTAACATATATATAAAAAAAAATCTTAGATTTAACTAGTTTTAGAAATAACTGGTTTTTTTCAAAAATTCCCAATTGAAGGATAGTACTATTTTCTGTTTAATCTCACACCATTGAAGAAAGAAGTATTTTAAATCTCTCTTTTATTCTTAACAGACAGTGGATTATGAGAGCAAAAGAAGATACAGTATTCAAGCAAAAGTTGTAAACAAGTACATTGATGAGCGTTTTTTGAAAGAAGGACCATTTGAAGACAAAACCATTATCAAAATCAATGTGGAAGATGCTGATGAACCTCCAGTTTTCACCTCAGAGAACTATGTGATGGAGATTGTTGAAGGAGCTATGAGTGGCTCCCTGGTGGGGGTCGTAACTGCTAGAGATCCAGATAATGATGACAGTCCAGTCAGGTACTTAAAATATACTATATTTATATACTATAAATGTAGTTGAGATTTCCAAATGTATTTATGTTCCTTACCTTAGTTCATAATCACAGTTAATTTTGCTCTCACTATGACAGCCTACGTTACTCAAGATGTTATGGTTTAACCCACTTAGGCAACTAAGGACTACACAGCTGCTTACTCATTCCCCCAGCCATCGAGATTCAAGAGAGAATTGAAAGCGCAAAATCGTGAGAACTCATGAGTTCACATGAAGATAGTTTAATAATAATTAAAAAAAAAAAAAAAAAAAAAAGAGGAAAAGAACGTAACAGGGGGGAAAAAAGCCCAACGTACAACAAAACCCCAAGAAAACAAGAGATGCAAAAAAGACTCAAAACAATTGCTCACTGCCAGCCAGCTGATACCCAGCCACTCAACCCAGTAACAGTAGATCCTTTTTTCAATAACTTTAATAATAAATAATTTTTAAAGAGAAAACAGGTAATTAATCTTTAACATACGATTTATAATTAAAATAGCTTCCTGAATTACCTGAATTGACATCACTGTGTACTATGCAATTTAGACAAGCTAGGATACAGTGAAAAATAGTTGAGACATAAAATAATTTATGGTGTGTAGACTTCTAAAAGCAGGCATATATATGTATATATTATGTTATGGCTTCAGAGGTTTAGGCAATGATTTGTTATGATTTTATATTCATTTACTGTTATTTAATAAGCTAGTAATAGGTTGAAAATATACATGTGATTTTTCATTCCCACCCAAAAAGGGATAATTTAGTGCTTTATTTAGATGATTGCATATCTCCTATGTAACAATTAAATATTGATACATATCCATGACTTCTTAGTTAGAAATATTTTGAAAGCACTTGCATCAAAGTGAATATGTCCGCACTAGTCCCAACACAGTGACACATGAATTACCTCACTGAGTTTCTTTGGAGTATGTCACATCTAATATATGGGTGTGTTTACTGGTCTAAGTGCCATGCAAATAAATATGATTTTAAAACCATTGCTACCATAAATGACAGTAGTTACTTATAATATAGAAAACAAGGTGTGTTTCCTTGTGGAGCCCAGGTTTCAAAAGAACAAATTTAAAAAGTCATACAACAAAACCTCACTACATCAGTAATAAAAAATAACAAATACCTAATGTAGATTTTTTAGCAACTGTTTATCAAGAATCAGATTAATATTTAAAAACAAAACAAAACAACAATATTAGAAAACCCTGAACAAACTTTGATGTAGGGTATAAGGAATACTCACCTAAAGAGAAAAAACAAAACAAACAAACAAATAAACAAACAAAAAACCACAAAACACCCAACCAAAACTACAAATGCCAAAAGTAGATGTTTATAAATGTTAAAAATTCAGCTCAAATTGTAAGAACTTTCACTTACAGTATTGTAATGGTTCCTTGATTTAACCCTTACTGATTTTGAAAACAGAGAAAACATAACTGTAAATAACCAGTTAGAGAGTCATCCAACTTCTGGTGCATTAATTGAGCTGGAGTCCCAAGTGTCAACAGGAAACAGATAGGCTTTGTCAAGTACAATTAAAGGTACAATAAAAGGGAGTAGTTTCATGAAGAAATTCAAAATTAGAGTGGAAAGAACCTTGCAACTATTCAAACAGGTTTTATTTCCATGGAAGAGACTCTACTAGGAACTGCATTATATGGTATTTTTCTTTGTAGGTCATTTAAAATATTAGTAAATATCCTTTTTTGCAGCAATATCTTTGGTGAATTTTCTGTCCATCTCTGGTCTGTGATCAGTGGTTAGACTTTAACCATTTGAGTGGTATATATGTATTTACATTCTCATTTGCATGCCCACATACGGACATAGCATCTGGAGCCTTTTCAGGGAACACTCAGAAACACAGGACTCATTTGCAATCATCTCCTGCATTAGGATTTTGTACCCTGCCTAGACACCTCATTACGGATAGTTTTCTGTCTTTATAATGCCCGTTCCCTTGGCATAAGAGCTTGTCAGCAATAATAAAATAGATTTGCCATTATACCTCCACTTAGCTGTTGGTGTTATTCATTTCACAAGTGGCACTTTTGCTGTTTCTTTTCAATGAAGTCATTCACCTGCTGTGAGCATGACTTAGAAGTATGAATGAATAATGCATTTCAAATTCAGTTCACATTAATATAGATCTGAGACATATTTAGTTTTATAAAAAGAAGAGCTTTGATCTTGGCAGCAGTGAGTTTTAAATGTTTATAAGTGTACATTTTTCATGATTTCTGAGTTGTTGTAGCACACATTTATATGCATATATACACAACTCTGTTTTCTCAGCTCACAGTAGCTTTCCATGTCCTTGCCTCTGATGAAAAATTTTGGTATTAGGAAATCTCTTTATTTTTTTTTGGGTGCAGGTACTCTATTGTCCAAAGCATGCCTCTAAAGAGACTGTTCAGCATCAGTGAACAAAATGGAACAATCATTACAACTAAACCTCTGGACCGAGAGATAGCTCCTTGGCACAACATAACTGTTACAGCCACAGAAACAAGTGAGTAAGGAATTTAAGGAATGCTGTGCTTTATATACTGTGAACTGTAATTATCTTCTGAATATGCCTTCTTTTAAGCAGAGAATACATGGTTCTTTCTCATTATATTACTGTTGCCTGCTACATTAAGGAACATTATTAAAATGATTTGTTAAATAGAAGCAGAATGTATTTGAGCTCCGAGGTCCTGTGTTTTTTTCATAAAAAATGACCTTACAAAAAAAAAGAAATTGTAATAGGATCAAGAGTGTAATGCTTTCAAGTTACATTGAAGCATATGAATTGTTCCTGTAGTGCAAGATCTTAGGTTAAATTAGACCCTGGTTAATTTCACACCAGATTTTTGAATAGTGTGAAATTAGCCAGGGTCTAATTTAACACCAGTCAGAAACCTGTGGCTTAAATTAATTGTGAATGTAAGGCCCAAATCAGCTAGATTTCTATTTAGTAACAATTAAATCTATGAAGCAACTTTTACATAGATTTCATCTGTCAATTTTGTTTGGAAGTCAAATGCAAATTACCTCTGTTTGTGCTTTTGATGCTTTTGGTTCCCTAAATCTGGGACAACACTAGAAATTTAACAGTTACTGGTTTATAAGACAATTTAACAAAATATTATGGAATATTATTTAAAAATTAATTCCATCCATCCTCAGGAAGGAGAAAAACCATATGAAACTGGAGTCCAATCAATAAATCAGAGAGGTTTTGCCAAATGCTCTTAACACTTTTTTAAATCCTGAAACTCGTTAAATGCTGTTTATTGCTAAGACCACTTTAAAATCATATTCATAAACAGCACTGTTCCCCTCTCTATATATGTGTAGAACATTTCTGTTGGAACTGTACTATAGTATAGTCAGTACCCATTTTCATTGAAGTCTTTAATTTGTATTTAGAAATTGATAGTATTATCTGCTTTTTTAGCTTTTCCATGAGGTTTTAAGCATAAATGTGCTTTCCTTCTCATGTTGTTAGGTAGCTGGCAGGTGTTGGCAAAATTGATCTCTGGTGTAGTTTTGTCTTGTCTTCAATAGCACTATGGAAACACAGCAGGATGACTTTGGTTTGGACTTTTCTGTTTAGTTAAACAATAAAACAGGAATGAACTAAATGTTTCAAGTGAATAACTGTCTCCTGCATCAAAAGAAAGTGAGTCTTTCACAGCAATGAAAGTTGTAGAGAAACAGAGACCTCATTATGTTCATATTCTTATTCTTTATTTCTTTAATGATGATACGGTCACTGTCCATAACACTCTGTTCAAAAGCACTGAAGTTAGGTCACCTTGGTCTGGCATACCTGGAATGATTTATACCATGAACTAGCAGAATTTTAGCCCTTTTAATATAGTCATAACACATACTCTGGGCATGAGACATTTGGAGGATGACATTGTGGCTCCACTGAAACCAAATCAAAATACCATTAGAGTTCACTCAAACAAGATATTCACTACACCTGAAACACATATTAAAACTGCATTAAAACAGCAACCTCCCTAGGAGCCTGTTGATGCCCTGAAACTCATACAGTACACTATAATTTGCCTCCATTGAAGAGACAGAGATCAGAGATGAGTAAGAGAAGCTTCCCTCTGTTACTGTAGGCCTGTGGTGTGGATCATGCTATCCTTGTGCCATTGAGAGAGCATGTTTTAAAAGGATGTCCCAGTTTAAATGAGACAAGGGTCTTTTGCTGAGGATGGATTAGGAGGAAAAGACCCAAACTTCTCTTTCCAAGCAATTATAAATCCAAAATTAAGTGGCTTCGACTGAAGGAAAAAAATTATGGAAAAGGGAAAATAACAGCCCTTTATTAAAAGGTATGTGTGTATTAACAGGAACATGAAAAAAAAAAGTAAAATAACTAAGTAATACTCCTATACCCACCAATAATCTCCTTCAAGAACAAAACCGATAAACCGGTAAAAGGAAAATAGTTCAATTTCTTGCACCCTTTGGTGCAGTTCCAACCACAGTCAGCAGGGGGCGCCGTCGGGTCACTGGAGATGCAAAATTTGTAATGTCCTGTACCGTTCACCAGGTGGCGCTGTTGGGTCACTGAAGGTGCAAAAACTTGTAGTGTCCTATTGTAGTCACCAGGTGGCGCTGTTGGATCACTGGAGGAGTAGAACTTGTAATGTCCAGTGCCCGTCACCAGGCGGCGCTGTGAGATCCTTGGCTGCCGCCGGAGGTGGGGGGGGGGGGAAGAAGGCGAAGGATAAAAACAACAGCAATAAAGCAGAAAGTTCTCCCAATGGAAGAAAACTCACAAACTTCAGCTGATTAGGGTCCGTTGTAAGCAGGGCCTGCAGCCAGCCACAGCTGAGCCAATAGCAGCAGCCAGAACTCCCCTCCAACAGGAAAGAGACAAAGGAACCCGGCAGTGTCTGCAGCCCGCAGCAGGCTCCCCTCCAGGTAGAGAGACTGACCCCTCTCCCCCCAGCCTCCACCCCCTTCCAGTCACACACCAGCCAACTCCCCCCCTTCGTTGTCAAGGAAACTAATCTCGGCCATTAGTGGGCTCGGGCCAATTCTTTTGTTCAACTAATGGCTCATATACAGAGCACACACACACAGCAAGGGGAAAGGAAAGAAAAATTCCTTGCTAAAAAATCGGAACTATGACACCGTATCCAGAAGTAGGTCTAATTCACTGGAATATAAATGAAACCTGTCAGAGCTTGCAACCTGTTGAGACTTATTCCACTTTGTGTCTAAAATATTTCTTGATTTTCAAGAGAAATCAACTTTCCTTTGATCAATTTTTACTTCGTTGTAATCAGCTTTCACCTAGTACAAAGCTGAAGTATAAACAATAGTATTCTAACCATATCTGAGAACAAGAAATCCTTAAGTCACCATTATCCAGTTGACAGATGCTCACTTGTGCTGTTCCCCTAGGCTCAGTACTGGGGTCAGTCCTGTTTAATATCCTTATCAATGTTTTGGGTGAGAGGATCACATGCACCTTCTCTCACTTTACAGTTGACATCAAGTTGAGCTGTGGGAGTGTTGTTCTCTTGAAGGGTAGGAAGGCTCTGCAGAGAGATGTGGACAGGCTGTATTGATGGGCCAAGGCCAATTTTATGAGGTTCAACAGGGTCAACTACCGGGTCCTGCACCTTGATCAAAATAATCCCACAAAGAACTACAGGCTGGGGGAAGAGTGGCTGGAAAGCTGCCCAGAGGAAAAGGACCTGAGAATGCTGGTACACAGCTGGCTGAACAGGAGCTAGTAGTGTGCCCAGGTAGTCAAGAAGGCCAAGGGCATCCTGGCCAGTGCCAGAAAGACTGACCAGCAGGACTAGGGCAGGGATTGTCCCCATGGGCTTGGCACTGGTGAGACAGCACGTCAAGTACTGTGTTCAGTTCTGGGCCCCTCACTTCAAAAAGGTCATTGAGGTGCTGGAGCGTGTCCAGAGAAGGGCAACGGAGCCAGTAAAGAGGCTGGAGCATAAGTCTTATGAGAAGTGGCTGAGGCAGCTGGGGTTGTTTGCTGGAGAAGAGGAGGTTTGGGAGAGATCTTATCGCTCTCTACAGCTGCCTGAAAGGAGGTTGCAGGGATGTGTAGATCAGTCTTTTCTGACAGGCAACAAGTGATGAGAGGAAACAGCCTCTAGTTGTGCCAGGGGAAGTTTAGATTGGATATTAGGAAAATTTTGTTTCAGGAAAAGGTTGTCTAGCATTTGAACGGGATGCCCAGGGAAGTGGTTGAGTCACCATCCTTGGAGGTATTGAAAAAAACATATGAATGTTGTACCTGGGCACATGGTTTAGTGGTGAACATGGCAGTGTTATGGCAACATTTGGATTTGATGAATTTACAGGTCTTGTCCAACCTCAATGATCCCATGATTCTATGATTTTGTAATTGGTTTTACTTGATACTGATAGTCGTAAGCAAATTAACCCACAAAAAGCAAAGCAATTTTACCACCGAACCTTCCAAATTTTCTTTTATAGTGAGTTCCAGACTTAATACATTACAACAAAATTGACAATTCTTTGAATATTTAAGTAATGGATGATATAATCAATTCAATATTTAATTGTCTTCTTATTTTGGTCATATATATGTATATACTGTTGACAAACTTCTAAATTGTTAAAGTAGTCCTTTCTAAAAAAATTATTCCTGTCCATTTCTTTAGGAAGTAAAGAAATTTGCTTTAGCCAAATTATAGTCATATTATAATAATATTACAATAAATTATAACAATAACATTTTTTGTTAGTAGTAGTGTTTTTTGTCAGCCTGTTTTACCCCCTTCCACCCCCCGGTATTGAGGATGGATTCAAGGAATACTGACACCAACTTTAGAGAATAAGTGTATAAATTTATCATAGAGCAAAACTGTGAGGAATTAAAAAAGAAATAAGAGTGGCTTATGAAACGTTAAACTTAGCAATGCACTAATCATTAAGACAAAGAAAGACTTATAATGATTAAGAGAGAGATACATTACCAGCTACCCTAAATAATACATTACTATCATCCAGACCATGCTTCAGCTGGGGAGGCCCCTGATCACAGCGAAGGACTGGAGAACCCCTTCCTGGTAAATGGGAAACACTGCACAGCATGTCCACTGGTAGAGTGAAGCCTCCATCTTTCCTGCGAAAGGGTCCAACTTATATAGTGTTAAACAAACTGGCTTACATCACTTGAATGGTGTGGAAAAACAATCTGGCTTTCTTCTTCCATTGGTATTCCCCTGAAGCTTGGCTAAGGCCCAGAGGGAGACCCAGCCAGTCAATCTGGCCCATCTACTATCAGATCCCCTATGGTCTTGACTAGTCACTAAATAAAGAACTTATGGCTACACTGATATCTCAAATATGAACCAGATGTGACTATATGAAGCCTGTTGTTCTTCATAGCCTTGGCAGCAAAGAAAAGACATATTTATAAGACATACATAGGCCTTACTAATTATTCATAATATGCTGTGCTAACAAGCATAAGTGTGTATTCTTAAGGCATTACTAAGGATTATATAGCATCTTGGTTAATAAGCAGATATATGGCTAAATACAATACTAGGCTAGAATATTAGAATATTAGGTTGGAGAGTTCATCTTATAGTTCAGCTTTGGCTCAGGGCCAGTACTTCAGGTTCCAGCATTACATAGTGCTAGTATTATTGTTATTATTTTAAGTTTATTTTTTCTGGCTGATGATAGTGTTAAGCTTTTTTAAATCCTCTGCAAGTATTGAGTCCTATTTTGTCTCTAGAGATGGTCACTGCTTTTCTTTTCAAGTTAGTCATTTTGGTCCCTAGCAATTAAAGTATTATCTTCATTTTCACACAGATTCAGCCTATCGCACTTCACGCACTCTTCTCTTACACCTTGTCTTTCAAGGTCTGATCTCTCTTATAGAAGTTGTGACAAATAACTTTTCTACTCATTGAAAGATATTTAGCTTAATATAGGATATAAGTACAATAACTGAATTCAAGTTCTGATAATTTTCCTGTGTGAGGGATAAAGTAAGGTAAAGTAAGTTTTGCCTACCTTGTTCCCCAATGGCAACCAAAGCAGTACATCTGCTTCACCAAAACCATCATTAAATATCCACTAGACTCTGATTCCTGGAGTGGCTTTGTAATAGGTTGCTCGCTCTCAAAACAAAATAGGTGTGATTTCAGAAATATTAAAAACTTCAATACGTACAGAAATTCTCTTTTTTGTCATTTAACCATATGCTGGAGGGAAAAAACAAACACCAAAACAACCATGACACAACAACCCAAATATATTAAAGAATTAGAAACAAGACTATTGAAAAAAAAATTTTTTTTTTACTTAAAGAAAACAGATGTGATTCCAAAAACAGATCTAAATGTTTGTGCCAGCAATCCCTACAAAATGTAGGCTTTAAAGCTAGTATAGTATCCATAAATCTCACAAAAAACAGGGTAAGAATAGGCAAAGCTAGCTGGATCCTTCCTGTTTCACTTTCTATACAACTAAAGCCACCAAAGGTATTCCCTGCTTTCCATTAAGACCTACAAAATTTTCCTTTGAATGACAATGCAGTTGTATCTCTGCCCTACACATCCAATTCTGACTTCAGTAAAAGAGTTTAAGTAACCCCAGACTCTTGATATTATTTCTAAAAGGGATGTGGGCTACTCTTTATGTTTACCTAAAAGACAAGCTGAGCATTATTTCGTTACCTATTGTATTGTTATGAATGTTTGATTCATCTCACAAAGAATTATTTCTGAGATGGCTCTGACAGATCATAAGGTTTGGGAAATTAGCACAGCTTTAATGACTTCACAGGAGAAATAGAAATGAGAAACTGCTGACTATCTACCCCTTTATCTCTGTGGTAGTTGCTTTTTTTGCCATTTCCTTTGGCAAAAGACTCAAAGCTATCAGCATAGATTCCATAAGATCCAAGAAAACAAATGTTTGCTCCAAGCAACTAGTGAATTATACATTAAAAAAGTAATGTAAGAATCAACCAAAGTGAGGCAGTTGGAAAAAAGGCAGAGAGGAGTACGTTTTGCTTTTGTCTTAAAGGTTTATTTAACTAATTTAAGACAGTACCTTAAGGACTGTAAACAGGTCAGATGCAGTGACACTAGGACCAATCCTGAGACACATTTTAACTATAATGAATATTCTCACAATTGACACACTTCTGGTTTAGGTAGAGCAGATTGAGATAATGACATATTTGAGACATATTCAGTATTCCTGGAATGTCTTATTCACTGGAAAAAAATGTCTTTTATTCACTGGAAAAAATATTTTCATTATGGTTCTTAACAAACAACATGTCCACATTAATGTGAATGTTGCTACTGCAGAGAAATTTCTTGCCTACTAGAATAATAAATTATATTGTGGGGAAGGCAGACATTTCTTAGAGCTGTGCTGTGTAAGTGATGATTCAATGTGCTGACAGGTTTGATACCTGTCAGGTACTTCCAAGAGATACTCAATATAGAATCCAGGAATTAAATAGTAGTTTGGATTGGAAGGAACCTTTAAGTCATCAAGTCCAATCGTAAACCTAGAACTGCTAAATCCACGATTAAACCATGTGCTTACTGCCAGAACTACGTCTTTTCAATATCTCCAAGGATGGTGTACAAAATGCCTAGGAATTAAACCTGTGGTGTAAATAACACTCAGAAAAACAATAATACTTGTACCAAAAATAAAACTTTAGCCTGAGAAGCCTATCAGCAGTTCTGCCTTAGATTTGCCTGAGCAAAATTAGACTTCCTTGTGAGTATGTGTTTGGAGACTAGTGGATAGAAGAGCTCTGTCATTCTAAATTAAATCTTGGTTTTCTGTGTTGTCTAGAGTTTGGTGTCAGTGCCCACTACTATTTCACTGTCTAGCAGTTGCAAAAATATTTTTAAAGCATATAAATTTCGGTGATCTTTTTCTCCCAAACCTTCAAAATTTGATAATACTTAAGAGGAAGAGTAAAAGAATTTCTTAAAAGACCAATCGTTGTGGTAGCCATGATGTTAAGTGATGTAAGAAAGTCCAGTCAGCTCTTCCAGTCACTCCAGCTCAAGACTCTCCTACCACTGGTCCACTGGAGCCCAGTCTGGGGCCTGGGGACCCAAAGCCTCTGCCCAGGCTCAGGGTTGCAGCTGACACTTTCCTGTTTGCAGGCTCAGCCAGTAGCACAACTGAGCACATCTCAGAAACTCACAATGAGGACACTGACATGGTCAGTCACGCAGATTGACACAGACATCACTGGTGCACACACAACATGCAAAACACTCTCCAGAGTCACAAGCACACACACACTCATGGATCTCTTCTGTACCTAATTCTGTTTGCCCAACATCCCTTCCTGTATCCTAAGTCCTCTTGCATGCTTCATGGGTCCCCAGCTCACCAGCTAGTGCACAGTTGACACTTGCTGGCAAACCCACAGATCTCACATGTTTGTCCCTCATGCTCCCCACATTTGCAATTCCCCCTGAGCATATCTGCATGGAACCCTCGAGCACCTGTCCTGGATCCAAGGACCCCTACTTACTGTTCAGTCCAGTTTAAAGTTTGCTAGCAAAAACATACACACATTCAGGCACTTAGTCCCTGCAGCACACGTACATAAGCAATGAGAAAGAGTGAGAAAAGATTTGATAAAATGTAAGATGATAGGACAGGCTGGCGATCAGGTGCAGGGCTCAGCCAGGCAAATGCACTGATTGGACCTGTTTTGTATACAAACAGTCCATTTTATACCTCTTTCTATCTGACTCCTCTTTGTTCCTCCCTGCATGTTCCCCATGGGTCCTTACAGTTCCACTGATTTCCCCATCCCCCCCAACTTCTGGGATCCTTCTGATGTATAGTCTTATAAGCCCAAGTTGATCTACCTGGAATTGTAGCCCTGTGGTTTCTCGGTAGCCCGTCAATTATCATAAGGTTTGTTTCTTGTCTTTGTCTCCATGTTTACTTTGTCAGGTCTGTGTCTTTTTGTGTTTTGTTTCTGTTTTCCCCTTTTTCTCCATTGGTTTATTAGTTGTCAAGGCCACTGATCTGACAACTTCACGGGAATAAATATTCTTACACTCTCAGGTGCCGCCAACAGTTAGTGTATCTGACCAGGTTTGGACCTCATCATCCCCTCCCTTTATCATTTGTCCCTCAAATTTGTATTCCTGTATGTTCCTGTTTATGGCTTCCTCTTTTTCTTATTAATTCCTGTTGCATTGAAAAAAGGTCCTCGATCAGATATCCTTAGAAGAGCTGACACTCTTCTTATACACGACCTTACTTACGGCTAGTATAATAAATTGTTCTGTGTGAACTAAACCTCATTTAATTTTTCCAGATCAGGTTTTATTTTTTAACGTTTAAATTAGTTTCTGATCTGGTAAATAAAAGTATTAACAAATCCAAAATTTTACATGAAATGTCTTTTCTCAAGACTCTTATAATGGTATACTATTATATGAGTATAAAAATGTGTCTGTAGGTCTTTGTGATTATTTTCTTCTCTGTAGAATACAGGTAAAATTTTCTAATGTTTAGGTTACCTTAAAATACGTAGTAGATTATTTAAAACTTCTGATTTTTTTTTTTTTTAACCACTAGGAAATCCTGAAAAAATTTCAGAAGCAAATGTGTATATCCAAGTTCTCGATATTAATGATAATGCACCGGAATTCGCTAAATATTATGAAACATTTGTTTGTGAAAATGCAGTTTCTGGACAGGTAAGCATGGAGAAATTAGCCATCAGTTTTCTCATCACAATAAAGGTTTGGTCTGAGATGTTATTATTCTGTTTATAATTGATTATTTCCATTCTGTGAGTACAGGCTGCATTTTGTCTATTTCCAAAATTAGTTCTGTTGATATATCTGTAGTTTTAAATTTAAACTTTAGAACACTGACAGGTATTTCTCCCCCTTTAAAACAAAATCAATATATCTTGTTTGTCTCCAAAATCAGGTAATAAGACAAATACAGACATTTCTGTAAAGAAACATATGGCACAGATTTGTTTCATGTTAATGTCCCAGATACTAAATACAGGTCTAGTAATTTCAACAACAGTACAACATAGTCTGGAAGAACAAGGCTTAGACCAGATTCTAACCAGATTCGTTGAATCCTTCAATTAGAAATCATTTATTGTGAACTCAATTCACATCCTGTCTAGTTCCGTGGAAGTCTGAAAATGTTTAAAACATGGCCTTTGAAACACCTTGAAAATGGCAGCTTAAGCTATTGTTGTATTAAGCATCCTTCCCTGGAGATTTTTTTGCATTTCCTACTCTTCCCTGGCTGGATGGGGTAACATCAGTCAGCTGCCCTACTTCCCAGGTACACTGCTGTCTTTCCATTTTCCTCTTGTAAAAATGAAAACAAGGATGTTAAAAATTGGGAGCGGGGGCTTGGTTTTTTTTTTTTTGCTTTGGTTTAGGTTCTCTTGGTTTTGTGTGTGGGTTTTTTTAAGAAAAATATACAAAATAAGCAAAAACAACAAAAAAGTAACAATAAAAGTTACAGATAGGAAAATCTATATGTTTTCCCACGACTCTAAAGCATTGTTTGGACACACAAAAAAAGACCTGTGGGATACCTTTGATGATTCCATTCAAACATTTTGCTATGTTTTGGTTTCTAAATCACAGAGCCTCTCTTTTTATGACATTTTGGTTTACTTTGACCTTTATTAGTCTGCAGTTAAATAAAACTTTTCCTGTTGCTCAAGTAATTTCTTTATAGCCTTTTGCATCCATGTTCTTCTATAAGCATTTAATTTGTTTGTTCTGCATTTGGTAATTTCCCAGTCTGCTAAGAGTACCTCTGGTTCAGAGGTATTTGGAACAAGCTCATTTCTTTTGGTCTTTAGGTAACTCATTGACAGATCAAAGTGCAGGCATTAAATCAGCTGCACTCTGCGTTCTTTGACTTCGAGACACCATGAATTAAATATGGATGTTTATAAAATGGATAATTGTAATTCATGTTTTGGACTTGCTTACGATATAAAAACCCTGGTGATTTATTTCTCACGGTTTTTAATATTCTGCAGTCGCTTACTGATAAACAGTATCTGTATGCTAACCTATCAATAGCTACTTTTCAATATCAATTAACTATACATATTATGTGTTTTAGGAATCACTGGATAAAATGGCTCTGTAAAAAACTAGCAGTGGTAACAATAATTATAAACTCTTTGGGCATAGTACACAGAATAATTCCTCTTTGACATTGTAATACATGAATGAGGGATGAACATGTTATTTTTCTCATTTTACATATGGGAATAATGTTACTTTCATTTTGGAGTTCTTGGTTTTTTTCATTGCTATAGGCTTTTGAGAATTACAGGCATCTTTAGCTTAGCCTGTGGAGACTGTGACAGTAGTGTTAAATAATTTTCTCATTAACAAATGATCTTAGGAAGAACAACAGGAAATTGCTACTGAAGTGCATAATTATCACAGTCAGAGTTTATGATATTTTATTCAGTGTTTATGATTTAAACAGAATTGTTAGCTCATGTATCTTCAGTGCTATTAATCCTTTTTTTTTTTTTAATTTTTACTCACAGAAAAAAAGATCCTTTATTTTCATCAGAAAGAAACCAAAAGGTTCAAAAGTGATTTTATAGATGGCCTGGTTGTCCACTGAATAACAAAATTTACATTTCAGAAGAATCATTTTAAGCAGTTGAAGGACTTAATCGGGACATTAATTATCTTTTTATCTTAGCCATATTTCTGCAATCGACTCTAAACAGCTCAGGAATCTCCTTACATTTTGAGTTGAGATCAAAGCTTGTATAGCTACACTATCACATTTCAGTTTCTAAACCAGCAATGTCTACCCATTTAGCTGGAAATAATATGCTGAGAGATGTTTTCAGAGCTGTTCTATATGTCACTTATTTCCCTGATCTGAGCTGTTTCTACTTTTAGATATATTTGCATCTCCCAGTTTATAGTGTTTCGGGGAATGGAAGGAAAGACACAGCAAAGAGAAAGATATTGACAAAAAATGAAATGTCTTATTCAATCTAGATTTTATCTTGGTGTCTGTCTGATTTACTATAAAAGATACGTGGAGTCATGTGGCAATTAAGGTATTTTTACATAGCCTAAGAGCATGCTGGGTTGTGATATAGAGTATGAAATACACCATGAATAAAACTAATTGTTGTACTAATCATCCAAACTCAGACATAGTTAATAGTAGCTTCAGTCTAGAGAAGAGGGATTGTTTTGAAGTTTTGGATTTTCTGAAAGATTATAAAAATTCTTTGTCTGCTTTTATTGACTGAGTGCTGGTCTTCAAGTCCCTGTATGGTGTTTTTGTAAGAGTTACAGATACGTTTGACTTAGCCTCCAAAAGTCATTCAAACAAAAGGATTATATTTCAGTCTGTGGGACTATAATCTAAATTTGACAATAAAAATGGACGTAAAGAAGACAGATAGGTGTTTTTTGGCATCATACTAAATGCATTTATCATGTTTATTAGACATTTTGAATGGATTTTTCACTATCCATTTAATGTTATAGTTCTGTACTGTCCTATAATACAGAAGTCAGCTGTATACTAACCACAACTGAAGTTTTCTTTTGCACACTGAAAAACCACTTTCATTGCACTCCTAATATTAAATATATTATTTTCAAAATGAATTGAAGATTAAAATTGAACATTTCAAAATGTATCGAACATTTCAACATGAATTGAACATGTTCAAATGAATTGAATATCAATTTATTGAATATAAATTGAACATCTATAGGATAAAAGGCTATATAAAATAGCCTTCTATCCTATTACATTATAGTTATTATCAGATCAAATAGAACAACATTAATAAGATATTTAAACTCATGATTTCTTTTTTATTGGACCTTACAACTTTGTAACTGTATGTAAACACGGTAAATGATGGCCACAATGTGCTCATCAATATTTTCTTTTATATTTACTATTTATGGCTACGTAGAGTAGCTATAAACCTTTGAACTTCACGGAAAATATTCTATACAAATAGTCAGTGGACCAACTCTGTCCCAAAGGTAACACTGGAGACATCTCAGCAAGAATGAATCTAAACCTAAAAGCTTAATTCCCAAGGCATTCATAAATTAATTCAGCTGGAAAATGCAGTTTTAAAGTTTGATGTAGACCATAGCAAAATTTTTAAATGTAAGAAACCTGACCTTCCAGAATGTACCTATTTACATGTAGAGTAATTTCAGCACTTTTGTGAATGCTGGTCTTTCTTCATATCATGCAGGAAGCCCATTTCAGCTCAAGATAAGCTACAGGAAACATACCTACATTCTGAATTCATGCTGTCATCTCTAATGAGTATTTATTCTGGCAATTCTGAGTTCCTATAATTTGGGGATCATGTATGAAGTGACTTTGATATTGCAGCTTGCTTAGCAATTTTTATTAGATCCAAAGAAGTGACAAAGTATGCAGAGCACTTTGAGCTAGAGATGAGAAAAGAACTAAATTTATTTACTCAGTACTGAGCACAAAATAAAATAATAATCAGCTACAGTGAAAGTGAAAAGTACTCATTTGATATTACTTCTCTACATAATGAAATGACAAGAAAAGAGAGGAAATCTTTAAACAACTTCTAGGAGTATATGATTAATGTTAAAAATGAGCAGTTTGCTAAAACAGATCCTACCTAATAAGTCATGATGCAAAATTATTTTTGATAGCTGAGAAGTGAAAGTGATAGGTTAGTAAGACAATGTTTATTATTTCACATTGCAGGCTCTCTTCATCGTTTACAAAAAACATCTGAACAGTGAAGATAGGAAAATAAAAAGTTTAAAAAATAACAATGAATGCATCCCTTAGAGCATAGAAACAAGAAGAAACTGTGAAAGCAACATTTATTGTAGCAGACTCTTACTCTAAGCTGCACCTGCAGATGCACTGAATGTAACTTGTGACATTTTAAAATAGTAGGCAAAGAGGCCCATTTCTCTTTTATATGGACCATGATTCAACAACATTACCTCTTAGCAAATGGCAGAGGTGGGACAAGTTAATCAGCATATGCAAGCAAACATAAAAAAAAAAACATCTCAGTGTCATAGCATGAGCTTTGCAAATGTTAATCCTATGATGATAAGTACAACATTTTATTTATAGCTGAGCAGAAACATTTACAGTAGAGCCAGAGAAAACAGGTCAATACTGTGCCAATTTACTTTTTAAAACAGAAGCAGTCAACAGGAGAACATTGGTCTTGAGACAGAAGGCCTACTTGGAACATGCAGTGATGACCATAGTAATTAACATTTTAATCTTTTACCTGCACTAAAATCTGATGGTCAGCAAACATTATTAAGCAATAATAAAAATCTTACTACTTATAAGACCTCTGCCAATTTGAACAAAACCAGGTCTTGACTCCCAAAAAAGATGGGTGATTAGATCTCTTACATTGTGTAAACCACAGCAGAGCTCCTATGGAAGGATGTTGTTGGAAAACAAACCAAAAAAACTGAAGTAGAGAGAGGTGACAAATATGTTCCTACTTCTTTCAATACCTCCATGGGATTGGCAAGACTATAGCTGGGTGTAGAGGAAGGACTCAAAATTCTACACTCAAAGTACCTAGCATCAAAATGAACAGTACTGATTGTTGTTCAGATGGACAATCTATACCTTAAGTTGTGTGTTTGCAAAGAAATTGTAAATGAGGCCCACCCACCATTAACTTAAATCAGTTTTTCAACAAGAATCAAGTAAATTAATCTCTGCTTTAAAGAAATAACCACTTTAAATTGACTGTTGGATTATTAAAACTTCTAGATTAATGAGACTTGAAATTAGAAATTTTAAAGCAATTAAGTTTCAGCCTAGTCAATACAACAACTGATACAACCTTGCAGAAGCAACATATCATTTACTATATTTCCTTTGCTTGCACACTAAAATGTAAGAATTTGTAAACCTAGACACACAGGTTTAAGTGCAGTTTGTGATGCTAGTTTTCCCAGTAAAAGGCTAGTATTTCCTATGTTAAATGTACAAAAATATAGAAAACTTGGGGAAAAAAAAGCAGAAGTTTCCTTCTCTCTGAGTGGGTTTGTTTTTTTTTTTTAGATTCAGCAAAATCAGAGGTACCTATTGTTCTCTAAATATTTTATAGACTAATCTGGGTTTTGCTGAATCTTAATGGAAGAGATACAGCAAGAAGTAAACAAAAAGGATTTACCCTGTCCTTATTTTCCAGATTTTCCCCTGCTGCTAAGGTGAATCCTTAAAGGCATATGAATACAGATAGAATAATTATAAGAATCTCAGAATTGTGTAGAACAAGACAGCACAGACCAAAGCAAGGGAAGGTGGTTTGTTTTGTTTGTTTTTTTTTTAAGCTAGCCACATACTCCTCAAAATGTAATGGATTAAATCAGTTATAGGCCCAATAAATTTATAGGATCAAATACGTTCTGTATGTAGAATATGAAAGTCAATAATGAAAAAGCAAAACAATATCTAATTTACAACTGCAATAATTTTATGATTTTCAAACGTGATAGGCTCCTAAAAAATATACTTTCTAAAAACATAGGTAATACCTGGCTGAATAGAATGAAAACTGGAAGTATAAATGTCACACATCCTTTTTTGGTTCTTTTGTTATGTAGTTAGGTAATTCTACTCTACCAATTAACTAAACTAAAACCAAATCAAAACCAAAACAAAACAAAATAAAACAAATTAGCTGAGGCTAAGATGCCTTTGTAGATTACTATGTTACTCTGTATATTTAGTATACCTTAATAAACCCTGAATTGTAAGGACAGATATAAATCCATACCAAGATTTTTTTCATCTGTGACCATAAACATTTTACCAGCAAATTGTCAAGAAAGGCCAGTATGTTCTTTTTTTAGTTTTTTGAGGCATATGGCAGAATATTATAGCAAAAATATTTCAGTCTTCATAGTTTAGACTAGATATATAGTTTTGTACTCTATTGCTGTTCATATTGAGCATATTCTAGGAACTGTATTTCCTTGTAAAAATGAAGCTTGTGGTAACCAAGGTAATGTTAGCAGTCAGCTACTGCTCCTCAATGATTTCTTGACCTGCATGTTTATATGTGTATTTGCATCACCTTAGTGATTTTGTTAGTTCTGAGGAAAGAAAAAAAAAAAGCCTTAATAGTCTCCATCCTTTGTACAGTATGATGTTACTGAAGAGTTACTCTTCTCGTTAACAGAAATAAAAAAAAAATAAATCTCAAGTGTCCTCACTTGTCCGTAGGGTGAAAATACAGATTTAAAATAAATTTCCCATATAAAAAGGGAACAGTGTTAAGAATACAAACCTTCTGTGGTATAAGCCACCTTTTGCTCTCTGCTGCGATGATTACATCAAACTTAGCTTGCTTGAAAAGAAAAATAATGTGTGCTGAAGTCTTAGATTTTTGAATTAAAAAAGCTGTAATCAGAAGAGTTTTCAAAGGCAAAGATGGAAAGATGCAGTAGTCACTTCTGTTGACTTACTGTTTTGCTTTTAAAGCCTACAAGTGCTTTCTGGTTTGAGGAAAGTTGAGGTCTCAAGTGTCTTGTGCACAAATATCTACAAGGCATGATATGACTCATAAAATAGAGCCCAAGCTCAAATAGAACCCTCTCTTTTCTGAAAATTGGTGGGCTTGCACCATTTTGCTTTCCTCCTGATCAGTAGGAGTGCTCGCTATTATATGCATTAAATATTTACTAATAAAAGTAATAAATATAAGCTCTTTTTAAACAGAAATATTGGTAATTATATTAACTCTGTGGTTGCTAATTTACAGACATAAAAGATATTCTTTTGAATGCTGTTATTTTTTTCTTTTATCTTTCAATGACTATCTGGTTTGACATATTTCTAAATGAAGAGTATTTTGATTTCTTGAGAAAAAGCAGCCAAAAATTTCCATATTCAATCTGTTATACAGAATCAACAATTCAGCACATGAACTTGTCAACAAGTCTCACTTACTGAAGCTACAATACATCAATTGAATAGTGTCAATATGCTTGTGGCTTGGAAGAAAATGGGGTTTGTATGGTAGGATTTCTTGAAATTTAGAATGATATACTCTTTACCTTGAGGGGAAAAAAAAAAAAAAAAAACCAACCCACCATATATATGATTATTTGTTTCATTTATGGAGTCTTCATTTTCTCCTGGTCACTTGATTTAGAAAATCTTTTACATTTTCTCAAGATTTTAGTGCCTGCCTGTCTCAAGATGATGAAAAATTAAAGCAGAGTATTTGCAGATTATGAGTCTCAAAAAGCCTATTTGGGTATGTGGTGAATATTTGCATAATAGGCACTCAATATAGACTCACAGATCACATCTTCAGCATCAGTAGTTTCACATACCTGTTATATCCTTTTATTGTTTTCAAGGACAAGGAAATTCTTTTGTTCTTAAACAACTCTGTTCTTCTGTCTTCCCAGCTAATTAAAACCATAAGTGCAGTGGATCAAGATGATTCAGCAGAAGGCCACCATTTTAACTTCTCATTGGCTCCAGAGGCCACAAACAACTCACATTTTACTGTCAAAGACAATCAAGGTAGTGTCATTCATGTAGCTCTTTAAGACCTTTTTAATGGAAGCTGCATGCTTCTAGTGGTTCTCAATTTTGTAAAACTTTTCACTTAAATAGAAATTGTCATTATAAGATATGAACTTGTCCTGAGTTCTATTTCAAAACAATTATTTCATACTGTCAGAGTTTATTTTCCTTCTCAAAAGGATAACATAAACAGCAAAAGACAGTTTTTATTTCAAGGAAAGAAAAACTGTTGAGATGAAAAATAAAGTGGTACTCCTCAAAACTTTTTTTCCTAATGTAGAGTATGGTGCCCAATTCCAACTTTCTTGTTAAAATTATTTGTCTGAAAAACAATATCACTAGTAAGAAAAGAATGATTAATAAGTCTGTTACTTCATCACTTCAGTAAAATTATAAAAACAGATAAGAAGGAATGCATTCTTATGTCATAATATACTTTAAATTGCTTATACTGATTATTGATGACACAACATGATGTTTTTATGTATTTTGTTGTTATTCAGAACTAGTATTGATTGAGATTCTTATTAAAAGAGTGATACAGAGAAGTAGCAAGTAAAAACAGTCTGCAGTGAAAGAATAGTTGAAATATCTGATGGAATTTCAAAGATGACTTTTTAGGGTCAGTCTACTAAGACTACAAAAAAAAAGCTTCTTCAGACTCAGCTAAAGTATATATTGTTCTCATTGACTTCGTTAATTATTTGAATGTTCTGGCTAAGGGAATAAATCAATGGAAATAAGTTTTGGGAAGTTCTGTCTGTTAAAACAGCAAACTATTCTGCTCAATTTTCTTCAGACTTAGTCAATGTATCAACAAGTCTTTCAATCCCATCTCTATTAACTCTTACTCCCTGCCAGGAAAAGATATCATGTTACATTAAGGTCAAATTGTGTACAAAGCCATGAGCCTTTCCCACCTTGCTTTGCTCTGCCCAAAACCCAGGCAAGACCCTCACACAAGGCAACATATTCAGATCCTTTTGGTAGCTACTACTGGGGAAGAAAAGAAAAAAAAAAAAAGGAAAAAAAAAGCCAACACCCACCTTTTAAAATATGATGCAATCAGCTCTCAATCTGTCCCTTTCTGTTGCATTCCACAGAAATGGCTGAGTGAATTGTGATAATCCTAAGGAAGAGCAAAAGTGACTGCAGCATTTTATCTCAGAGTTGCTTTCTGAACTATGACAGAAACCTAGAACAACTTAAATGTGAGGGAGTTAACTTCAGTAGACTGTTTGGATAGATGTATTAGACAGGTAATGGTGGAAACATGGGGCTTTTTTTGTTTTGGTATGTGTGTGGGTTTTCTTTGTATACGTATGGACATATACAGTAATTCACTCTGTCAGGACAAAAAGTCTGATATAGAAATATTTATAATTCTTTTTTCTTATCATTACACATAGATGTAGACAGGAGTATTTTGTTCTGGTACAAGCTATGTTTCATATTTGAATTAATTGATATGCAGCAGGAGTTGAAATTAAGCTGCTTACTGTGTTTTGTACAGAACAGATTTCTAAATACTATTTGTTAAATACAAAGCAAAGTCAAAGCCTCTAAAACTTTTTTTGTTATTTTAGATAGTATGAATCCAGCTAGCTACAGTTTTTGAGCTAGAAAAAGAATTAAAAGACTATTTTAGTGGACTTTTTTTCTTTTTTTTGCCTCTTTTTCTTGCCACCTGTTTTCACAATGTGCTGCTAGACACACGTGTTTAACCCTTTTGATTGGTAAACTGTCTATGTTTTATCTGTGAACTGCTGGCTTAGGAGCAGCTGGTTATATGAAACTATTTTTAGAACTAATTAATTAATCTGAGCAGGCATCAGATACTGAAAATGGTGCAAATTTCTTTAACTCCGAACATTAAAAACAGAGTTCCTAGGACAAATTCTATTATTGTCCATGGAATGCACATCAAAAATAAATGCAATTTATTCATGATTGACAAAATATTCACCAAATATCAGTGCCTGGGTTTACTTTTTTAACTTTCTTATTATGTAGCTTTGCACAGTAGCATTGGTTATAAATAGGTCAGATTCCACTGGAATATTATTGTTGTTGTTAGAAAACATATGAATTCATACCATCATCATAATTTATCTTCTAGATAACACAGCTGGAATTTTCATAAGCAAAAGTGGCTTCAGGAGGCAAGAGCAGTTTTTTTTCTACTTGCCAATCGTAATTGAGGATAAAGGGACCCCACCACTGACAAGCACAAATACTCTCACTGTCACTGTCTGCGACTGTGACACTGAAGTAAACACCTTTTATTGTCGATATGGAGCTTTCATGTATTCCTTGGGTCTCAGCACAGAAGCTTTAGTTGCTTTTTTGGCGTGCATACTAATACTCCTAGGTAAGTACAAATAAGAGAAATTACTTTGTTTTCTTTTACAGGGGGGTTAGTTAAGTGACAAAGACATACTTCCTTGACTGGAAGACTGCAAGTACTGGGCCATTGGGAAAAATTGAAATAAGGCAAATGTTTGGTATCTTTCCTGTTTTCTTAACTGTAATTTCTCCCTTCCCCTCCCCAGTTTTCAGTAAAATTTGAATTCTAACACTATTTACTAAAATGTGGGTGTAATTGAGTCATGGACCTCCTTAACCCTCCAGCATTCCAATAATAAAGATTTAAGAGCCCAAAGTCTGTATGGAGCCCAGGTAAAGCTGAAGACAGCATTACACAAGAAAACTTGCTAGTGTAAGAGTATATTAGGAGGAGCAGCACTGCACTCATTCTACCTTAGGAATGAAGAATAAAGAGCTGAGATCAATAATAAATAATAAAAGAATTACATTCTCAGAAAGTTAATTTGGGTACAAATAGGGAGTTTCTCTGTCAATTAATAAGGTTACTTCTCCAGATAACATTTTTTCCAGATGCTGGGCATGTCCTTTTTCCTATCAGGAGACATAGACTTAACCTCCATTACACTTGGGATCTTGTGGATTTGAAAAGTGGGTTTGAGAGTGTTTCAAATGCAGAGTTTAGATAGATGTATTGGACAGCTAATGGCAGAAACATGGTTGCTTTTTGTTTTGTTTTCCTATGTATAGGTATGCATACATGCAGTAATTCACTGTACCATGATCAAAAAGTCTGACATGTAAATATTTATATAGAGAGTTGTGCTAGTAGCCCTGCAAAGGGTCATGCATGGCTGGTAAATGGCACTCAAAACCAGACTGATGACCCAAGGCTGTTCCCACTCTGAACGGGGCTATAGTTGCTGCAAGATATATTGGAGTGATCGCACTCAGGCAAACACCTGCTTCACCTGATGAAGCACACACCTATCACTGCAACAGTGCATTTGCCTTTTTTAGCAAAAAGATATTCCTGCAGTGTTCCATGAGTGATTTAATGATACTGACACTAATCACTCACTAAAGGTTAAATATCTGTCCTGAAATTCTGAACCTGCCTGAGTTAGTGAGGGTAAGGTGTGATAGCTTTTGAGGCTAGGAAAAAAGAGGTAGAGACAGGTAGGTTTGTTTTCCAAGGCAAAACGATTAACCTTAGATCTTGGTCAGTGACAGTGGTCATGGGCCTCAATACCAAATTCAAGCTAATGCAAATAAACCAGCATAGGAAGACTTTAAGTCTCTGTTGCCTGTGTAATAATAGGGCATATGCCACACAGCAGTATGTTTATAAAACACTATATCCAAAAATACCACAAAATAATTGATAGGTTACAAACTCATAAATTGTGCAAACCAAGCATAAACTGATTTTCAATAATGTTAAAAAAAAAATTAGAATCAAAACAAGAAAACAGCAGCATAATATCTAGCTGCGCAAATTCAATGCCCAGAAAGAAAGAAGCAATAATAACAGGAATAACATTGTCCTAAGAAACAAAAACTTTCAGTGAAAATTATTCTCTCATTATGTTTGTTAATGAGAGCAAATATAATAATAGAAATATTTTTAATTTTTTATATTACTGAAAGAAATACAACTATACAGTAAACCTTTTTTTTTACATATAAGAGATATCTAAGCAAAGAAGGGTTTTTTCTATGTTCATTATTTAGTCTGACCTCTACTACTCTATAAATTAAAGCATACAATATATTTATCAACATGAACTACAACAAAACTGAGGCCTGAAAATGAAAGCTTGCAGCTCTATACTAATGTGTTTTAGTCTGCTATAGTAGCAACAGAAGACAGAAAAGACAAGTCAAATAAATTAAATGGAATTAATTTGAGTTTATATCACATATATTCTGCATTCTGTCCACAAGGTTATTGCTTATTTTCCTTAGCACATGGAATATGAATATGGAATATGAATATGGAATAGGAACCAACTCTAATAATTTCCTGTTGTACCTTTCACCTCCTGACTGAATATCTTGGTGAAAACTCATTGAAATTTCTCCTAAAATAGAACCCTATAATTTAGTCTCACAGTAAAATGGGTTGTCAAGAAGCAGCACACATAATTGTTAGCTATGACTCAGCAACTTCATATGGCTTTGAACTTTCAAGATCTGATGACATACAGGAAACTGCAGAAGCAAAACAGCCTACGAAAAAAATATATTTGTTTTTATTTATCCATGCTTAGGTATTGAATAGATAGGGCAAGGGTGAAAACAATGGAAGGGAACCTCATAATTTTTATGTCTAAATGGGAGTCCTCTTGGCAAGACATCAGCCATTTCTTGACTCCATAACAAAGTCCAGGGATGCACTCTGCATCCATCTCCTGGTTTCCAACAGAGAACACAGGAACAGGCTTACCTGCTCTTCCAGTCACCTTATTTAAATTTGAGGTTAGATCTGCCTTAGGCCTTTTAGACAGCTTAAGTTTACAGGCAGGTCAGTGTTCATTTCAAGTTTTATTTCGTTGTTGCAGGATATCTCAATGCCGTGTTAGTTACTTAAGGGACTAAGGGTCAGGAAAACTGTATCAATGCATTATTCAGGCCATCAGTGGAATTATTCACCAGGGGTTTCTTGGTTGCTTGCAAAGAGGTCTTCTCTCCAAGTGGAATAAGCACATGGTGTCTACTGGGCCTAGGTATATCACAAAAGTCAAAGCAGGGATATAGTTAAATATGTTAGTCCAAAAGAAAACCAAATTACGACACTCTTTACAGACACAAATATTTTAAATGTATTAAATATTAAATTTGTTGTTGATGTTTCCCAATCAAATGAAATAGTTTACTGTAAATAGGTAGAAATAAAGAACTACTTCAGTTTCATCATGTTCTTAAGTAAAATCCGGCAACTGTTGCCAGTTGGATCATTTCATGTCTTGAGGAAAAATTACAGTCCACAAACTACTTACTTATTAAGTAGAACTTCACCTGATTTCAGTTAAAAACTGAAATCATTAACCTTTTAAATGTCATAGACTAATTCAAAGAGATCAATCAGTTAAAAAGGAAAAATTAGGTAGGATTAAAAATAGTGTTTTAAAATAAAATTTTAAAAAGCTTTCACATATGAAAGAAATGAAATCATCTTCATAGACCTTGACAATTAAACAACACAAAATTTAGTGAGAGTCTGCAAATCAACATAACAGAAATAGTTAAACTGCATTCTGCATAGTCTGTGGAACTGAATGATTCAACTAGATGAGGAGGATAGCTTACTCTTTGTCTCATTTTTCATTTGATCTTCCTGGGGCTTTGATCAGAGAGACAGTAAGAGATTAACAATTTAAATTCTGAATGTGAAATGGATATATTATGTAATAAAAAAAGCAGTTTCAAAAAGCATAACCTGTGTATCCATCAGTTCTAAACTCACATCTACAAAAAGAACTGCTCCATTTCATTCAACTATTTTATAAGTCCCTTTGTAACCATTTTCCCAACACACCCATTGCTCATCTCAAAACCATAAAATCCATAAAAATTACAGCTCTATAAATTTACTAAGGGAGTTTCACTTTGCAACAGCACTGATATTAAGAAAAGTTACCATTTAAGTCTTTCCAAGCATATTCAAGTTCTCTGGTTCTGTTTATCTGCTTAATTTTTCCTTTTGCTCTTCTTTTTTTTTTTTTTTTTTTGGTAAGTGTTCTTTTTGGCAATTGTAACCATAAAGCAGCAAAAGAAGAAGTCTCCTTTTTCAGAGAAAATGGAAGAATTCAGAGAGAACATTGTCAGTTACGATGATGAAGGAGGTGGCGAGGAGGACACAGAAGCCTTTGATATTTCAGCATTGAGGACACGGACTCTCATGCGAACACACAAACCTCGGAGGAAGGTCACCTCCGAAATCCACAGCCTCTACAGACAGTCTCTGCAGGTTGGCCCAGACAGCGCAATCTTCAGGCAATTCATTTCAGAAAAGCTTGAAGAAGCAAATACAGATCCTACTGTTCCTCCCTATGACTCACTTCAGACCTACGCATTTGAGGGGACTGGATCCTTGGCAGGATCCCTCAGCTCGTTGGGTTCAAACATGTCAGATGCCGATCAGAGTTATGACTACCTTGCAGACTGGGGACCTCACTTTAAACAGCTTGCAGGCATGTACACCTCCCATAGAAGTGTGGGGGATTAGGTACCCTTCAGTTGGTTCTTTTATTTTCCTAAATCTCAGCAACAAAAAACTGCTGTGGATTTTTTAAAAAGGAGGTCATCCCGCATTTAAGCATGGAAAAATAAGAGCCAAAGGGTTTTAGTACAGAAAGTCTTGGATGTAGAAATCTCTTGAAAAATCACACCAGGGGTGTCATGACTTGAGGGGATGGAGCCTACTGTTTGAAAAGCTTGTGGTTATTTAAGGGCTTGAATGCAAACTGTGCTGCTTTGGATATCTAGGTCTTCTTCTGGATACTGAAAACTTGGGTCTTGTATGTACAAAAGGAGGAGTAGAAGCCATAAATGGATGTTGCAAACATTCTATCATCCATAAGCTTTAAACCATTTCCAAAGTTAAGATAGACTTTTGATGTTGCAGTTGAATACATTCATTAACCAAAGTTAAACATACATATTTGTATAATGCTTCATTATATAAATATACTTGTGTGAAAAAGTAGACCCTAGGTATTCTAATACAGTTGTCAGAAGTGCTCACAGAATCATCTATTTATTATTCTTAAGATGATAAAACTAAAACAAATGTCTTTTCCTATCAGTGTAAAAATAAAGACCAATTACAACACCAGCAAGTATTTGCTACCATTTTAGTTTTTAATGAAACTGTTGGAAGATGTGTAAACCGATACTTAATTTAGCAAATAAGATAGAAAAAAGAATCAACATTTAACTTAAATACTTTGACCGACCACATATTATATATTACTGTACTTAGAACAAAATACTGTCCAAATAGAGGCATTTTTTCTTCTATTAAGAGTTTAAAGGATGACTGATTTACCAGCACAGATTTATTTTTTTACTATGGAATATAAAATTAGCTGCAGTAGTCAGTTTTATTATAACAATATTAAGAATCTTTAAAATGCTAAGCTGATGGTTATAAAATTTTATGTATGACATTAGATAATAAGACAATAAAATGCTTTAATGTTAATCCACTTTGAAAATGATCCTGAATCATTCTGAGTCTCAAGTAAGATTTCAAAATTAAATTCCCACTGTATTTTGCCCAAACATTCTGTAATGAATATAAAGCTGTCACAGAATATATCTTTACTCTTACTTTTACCACTACCCTGCAGCAATTTTGGAACTGGGGTCATCAAATGTTTTCAAAATGGTCTGTGTGGAGAAAACAACCCTGTTTTTTATTCATCTCCCATTCATCAGGTACTCATTTTACAGAAATTACATCATGTAATCAACTGATTCAATCAGCTAAAGGCTGGCATCGGGATAAAGAAAATTATGCAACATATTTCTTTCTGCTTTCCTTTTTTTATTGTTTTTAAGTAAGATTTTAGGTAAGTTCAACTGAATTACAGAGAGCCAGGAAAATTTATGCAAGGAATAAACAAACAAATGAACAAACCCCAAACAAACAAACAAACAAAGGCCTGCAAAATACAAGCTCTGCAATGTTTCCATCATCTTTACTCATAACTGAAGAAAACCAAGGCATGTAGGCTTAGTGGAAAGGTGCCAGTGCAGAGTTTAAATTCCTGGTAGCTAAAAATAAAACATGTGGAGGAGTTTGAAAATCAGGAGAGATTTCCAGTGTGAGGTCTGATAAGGACAGAAACATTATTCATTATATTCATAGCTGGAAAAATATGTAATGGGCAGTGGGGGGTAGAGTGGCCATCCAAACAGGTGCAGATGAAGCAGCACCTGCTTCATAAAAACGAAAAAAAAAAAAAAGGTTCTTTCCAGTCTCGTGCTGGAATGCCAATATGGATAAACAGTTACAAAACAACTTTGAAAGCTTCACAAGTAAAAATATTGTATTAATGGCTCTAACTTTTTACTCCAATTGCTCTCAAACAGATGTGGCAAAGTAACTTTTATTTGAGATAAGATCGTACATCTTGGTAGTTTGCTCTATGAAGAGGAATAGAGAAAGAGAGAACAACTATACGTGTACTGATTGTTGGAAATAGTGAAAACTACATTTTTAGGATTAGGTCTATAGATTTATGTGTGTTATACTCTAAACAAATCCTTATTCCACAGATGGTCCCAGTGGAATTAAGAGAATTCCTCATGTTTTCAGGTTGTATTTAGTACAAAAAGGATAACAGTGTCTGATTCTTTCTCAGTCCAGAGATTTTGTCCCTTTATGTGGGGAAATAGGCTTGAAGACTCAACCATATTTGCCTTTATAATTTTCCCTTTTTCCCATAAGGCACTTAACGATAAATAATTTTTGTAAGTAGTGCTTACCACAGCCATGCAATTTTTGCTACCAATGCATGCCATTGTCAGTAATTTCTATATGAAAGAGAATAATGGCCTACAATGGATCTTACATGATCTTTAACTGAAAAAGCTTAAAACTGTGTTTGCATAACAGAGAAATGGCATGTTTTGATCTGAAACAAGAAGTTATTCCTAGCTGTTACTGGGCCACATGTGATTGGATTCATGCTATTCAATCTAAGTCAAACCTTAAGTCAATTTGTTTCCACATATGAGAAAAGAACCACTGAACTGACCTAATAATTTCATACTTCTTTTCATTTAGATGAAAAAGGTTTTGTAGAATTGCCTTCCTTTTTGAAGAAAGTAAACATTCTGAGGAAGCAAAAATTAATCACATAAAGACATCACAATAATGAATATCATGAAATTAATAAAAGATAAGCTATAAATCAGAGTTCTTGATGATGAAATCTATGAAATTGTGCATGGTTTTACCAATAGAATCCTCCACCACCTTTATCTTTTAAAAAATGATTAGTAGATAGAACTCACTATGTTATTGGCTGATATGAAGAGTGTAAGTATGGTACCAGATAGTAAATATTCAGCTGTTCATAACCTGCCCAAGGGAATATAAGGAAGACTTATTGACTGGTCAAAGGAAGTATGATCATACACACTGCTTTTCGGTATGAATTTTTTGAAGAGATTTTTCTGGCTTTCTGTTTCAGCCTCACTCCTATGGACTCAGTGTTGTGTTATTGGTTTTATTATTTAAAAACCAAAGAAATTGAAACTTTGCATATACTAATAAATGCTCAACATTTAGATGTTTGAAGGTAAAAAAAAGTAAAAATAATTCAACAATGTACTGCAGCTTCAGACTCATTATTCTGCTAGGAAAAACATATTTATTTTATCCATTCAAGGAAAATAAAATAGTTTTGACTTGTTTTTCACTTTCTATATCCTGATGTAGGTGTTTTACTGTCATAACGCTGAGAAGAAATCCTCCATACCACTGAGGATAGTCTTAGTCTTTAATTTGCATAATTTTCCTACTGCATTTTCTCACAGGTATTGTCATTACACTCATAGCTTTGCTTTCAACATTTGCATTGGAAATCTGGTTGTTTTAAGACTCATTCTTAATTTAATCTCACCCTATCAGATGAGAGCAAAATTTGTTTGAAAGACAGTGTGCATTTTATGTTTCAAAGTCAGATCTACTATATGCTTTCTAAGGAGCAGAAGTTATAAAGAAGGAGATTATGTGATTTTACATTCTGGCAAGGAATACATTTTAGCCTTGATCCAGACTATAAAAAAATAGAATAGAAGTTATATATATAAAAAAATCAGTATTTATTAGTAAAATCTGTAACATTTCTTCAGCAGAAAATTGACAAACCTGTATTTTATAAAGAAAAATAAAGTAAATTTATATTTACTAAAGCAGTATGTTTACAACAGTAATTTGAATGCTTTCATATTTGTTTGGAAAAAGAGAAATTCTTCATGTAAGGGTCCATATCAGCCTTATATACAGAATTCAAGAAATAGTGACATTTAACTTCAATGCACAGAAGGATAAAACGTGCATAGAGACTGCTTGGATCAGTATCAAACACTTTATCCATAGAAAATATATAGTAGCATTACTCAGAAATATGCATAGGACTCAACAAGATATTTGCCAGTAAAGGCAGTTAGATATAGGACACTAAGAACAAATATTAATAAATAAAATTAGAAGCCATCATTAGAAACAGGAATGGAATTTCAAAGGCTTTTAATTGCCCATACATTTTAATTGTGATTTAGGTAATCCTTTCATAATATTAAAGTTTACAATTTAGATAATACTCCACATACGGAGGTTCAAGTAGATTTGGCTTGTAAAGAGATAACAAAATCTGCTTACGTGTATCTGACCAAAAGGATACAGCAGAAGTTGTTGGATTAAATCTTAAAAGGATGCAAACCTCCCCACAGATATACAAAATATTCCTTCTGACATTGTTATAGGTAAATTAGGCTCTGTCATCAGAAATGCTTCTGAAAAGGGATTTTATAAAGGATATCTTGGACAAATATTTTAGTAGCTTAGGAGGTGGAGAAATAATTTTTTATATGCTGATTCTGTAAATTGGACTTAAAAATGTCAAAAATATTCCCCATTATTAATAGTGAGGACACCTGAGATATATGCAAGAACCTGGATGTCCTGAAAAAAAGAAGGACAGAAAACTGATAAAATGTAATGACAGAAATACAGATCACCCACTCTGGAAATAGTACTTAAAAAAAAAATAAATCTGCTTTTATACTTGGAACTTATCCAGAAGAGTAATTAAACAGGACAAGGATATTCTAGCTTCTAAAATAGCTATGAAATGACAACAACATTCAGTCCAGAAAAGAAAAATCAAATATGAACCAAAACTGTACAATGCAGTAGATAAAATAAAATGCTGATCATGAAATTAAATTAGTATTAGACTACCTGTTTAATTTTTGACAACCCATTATCTTTCATCACTCTGACCACCCACACAAATATTTTTTCTGAAATTTGCACATTCCTTTAAAACAAAGTAAGCCAGAGGTAGTTCCCATAATAATAATTATTATTAATAATAGATTTTATTTATGTATTATATATGATATATTTTATAAAAATGGTTATTATATTTATATAATTAATGAGTATTAGTTATTGATAATTATTTTCATAAACATAATTTAGTAATAATTTATTATTTATTCCATACCTACAAATACTTTGACAAGGCCAGACAAGGTGTTCAAGTGATGTAAAACAGTTATTAAAAGAAGTTTATCCTTAAACATCTTATTCTATACTTTCAGAGGTCTAATTCAATATGCCTACATTTCATTTATATTCAGTGAACTTCATTTCACGGTTGCAAATGCCTATCTACTTACATCACTTAGGAATTCAAAATATTATTACAATTACTTTACAAATATTTTATGAGCCTTCCTAAAGATCGATTACAGTGACTATATGAATACATTATCCATATTCTTCTTGTCAAAGCATCTTATTGTCACAAAAGTCTTACCCTGCTTTTCCATCACTGAAAACAGAAACATCTCAGTCAGTTTCCACAGGCACTTGCATCCACTGTGGTACATCTCATCGAACTGCAGCCACCTAAAAATTGGAGTAAATTGTTCAAATTCCTTGCCATCCCATGTTGCCACTACCTCAGGTACCATAGAAATTCAGGGCAGGATGGACTCTCCAGTGCTTCAAAATGTCCTCATGGGACTGCATTAGACATGGTAGACCTTCCACAGCAAAGACCTCCTACTAATACATTTTCTTCATGTCACTGAGGGCACAAACTCGCTGATTAATCACTACCAAAGCTTCATCTTCTTTCACCAGTCTTATAGGGGTATAAGGATTCTACTTTGTCTTTCTACCTTCACATACATTTGGATTTATTTTTAAAAACTCAATATTTTTCTTTGGCAATAGCTCCTGTCAGTCTTGAATGATTATTATTGCTTCATAGTATTCTATTAACAGCTATAGGTTTCCAAGTCAGCTCCTTGAGGAGAAACCTATTTTGACATCACAAATTTCAGAAAATACAGAGAAAAAGACATGAAATGAAGGCCAAAAGAGGTCAAATGGTTCATGTAGTTGCCTAACTCCTGAGCTAGACACAAGATGTAGGTTCTGAAATATTCAGCTCACTACCCAACTGCTGGACTACAGTCAATTTTTGCAGGTCTGTTTGTGTTTTCTTGGCCATTAATAAAGTAAGTAAAAAAAAAATTCTATATCCACCTGAATTAGTTCTGGTTTTGTATCTCACTTTGAACAACTTTTTTGCATGCGACCAAAAGATTTGCTTGAGGACCTTTTTGTATGTTTGCTGACATTCTTTTCCTTAATCTTTCTTCTCTGGTCTACAGGTCTGAATATAATTTATATAGTTTGTTCTACATAGGCTGAATACCTCTTTTTTCTAAAGCTCTCATTTTAACCAGCTCCTGATATTGCAGCCCTTTTACGATCAGAAGTTAAGCACTAGTAAGTTGTTTGCACCCTGTAGCATCCTGTTCCAGTGACAGCATCCTAGGCTGATACTTTCAAGGTCTCTTCTTATTTTGTGCTTTTATACTATGTTGAATTTTATTCTAAGACCATAAGTTCATTCTACAGCTAATAACTCTTTCAAATAATTAAAATAAAGATACATCTGTATATATAGTTACACCGCATGTTTACATAAAGCTAAACAAAGCTAAAACAAATTAGATAATAGTTGCCTGGCCATTAGGTAATTTCTTTTATGGCAAAAACAAAAAACAAAAACAAAACAAAACACACACAAAAAAAACCCACACACACACACACAAAAAAAAACCAAACAAAAACAACAAAAAAACAAACCATGAAATGTATCCACTCAGACCAAGAGAATTCCAGAGAATAGCTCACAGGTCCTGAGGCCTGTGCTATGCTGACACTAAGTCACTTACAAACAGTAACATCTCTGTAGTTGCTACCTGTAAGTCTACAATCCCTGTAGGATTTTCAAGGGGAAACCATAGTCAGAAGCTAAGAAATAACTGTTTCCTTGAATTTCAAGTATTTCTGGAAGAAGAATTGCCTCTGAAGGGAGGAGAGAATAACTCTTATCCTTCTGTTGATCTGCATTACCAGAGAAAAAGTAAACAAAACTAAAACCACTGTAATTTGTAAGCATTTGTCAAAAATGTGTTTTTATCCTTGGTATTTCTTCAGTATTTGCAATATGAAATTCCTGATTGTTCACCAAATGTTTTGATTTGCAGATTCTTTGTCCAGCAAAGTTTTTTGGTCTTCTGCTGTCTAACTGCTCCTATGTGATAGATGGTTCAGATTCACCAAAAAAACCCCAACCAAGTAATAACCCATAAACCATCTGAAAGATTTATTGCAACAGGATTTCAGGAGTTATTTTCCATTGTTATTGGAGAATGGTATAGACATTGAGAACCTGATGATTAGAGAACAAATCTAAAAAAATCCACAAAGAGATTGCTTTTGCTATAAACCTGAAAAATTTTGGAGCAGCAGAAATCCAAAAAAGAATCTACTTGGCTGATGCTTTCCTGTTTGCCTTTTCTGCTGTCCATGAAAAAACTTTCAATGCAAGCAATTGTGGGAACAACCTAATGCACCACATAGCTGTTGTAGCAGAGCTCTCTGGAGACTTCATTCCTTAGGGATAGAGTAGAGATCTGCAGACTGTTAATAAAGTTGACATAATTGGTTAGAACTAAAGGTAATTAGAATTACCATTTACCAGGATAGATGGAAATGAATAATATTTCTGGACACTGAAAATTAAATCAAGCTTGTACCACCTTTCTAATTTTCCCTTGCATTGTCCAGGACATAAATGACTATTCCTAACATTCCTTGTAAAATACACACTTTTTTGGGGTTTTCTCCAGAAATCACATAGAACAATTTTATCTTTCCAAGTTTCTCCCCCTTATTGATTTATCACTTGCAGGATGCTGACAAGTGTGTATTTTTTTTCTCTGAGAATTTTCTTGATGTTTCTTTTATGTCCTCCTTTAAAAGGAAAAAAAAACAGCAAAAAAAAACCCAAAAAAAACAGAAAAAAAAAGAAAAGAGAAGGAGAGAACCAAATACAAGAAGGTAGAAGTGTCACTGTGTAATGCAGTTTGAAAGACAATCAGAAAAAAAACCTACCAGGAGTTCTGCAACTTAAGCTAAAAGAAGAATTTGGACTTTTATTTTTCCCTTGTAGGGAACAAAATATCCTTTGAAACACCTAACAGCAGTCCTACTATTGCAGAGACATCAGAGATGCT